GAGATACCCACTCCTCTCTCCGTCAATCATGCGCCAATGGGATATCCAGGGAAAGAAAAAAGACTAGGCACGCCGGCTTGATAAGTGACATTTCTTGGCCTTCATGTCGTCGTCTCTCTTGTTCTTTCCTTTTCGGCCGTTTTCTGGCTTCCCAAACCCCCGGTTTTCGGGTTTCTCTTGAGGGGGGCATGGTATTGTTGGTTTCGTAAGCGCTGGTGGCGTTTTCATTTTTTCCCACGTGCGGACGGGCAAGGTGTTGCATTCTAGACAAGTATCGGAGAGAGAGAAAAAAAAGTGAAGACGCTTGGCTGGGACATGTGCCGAAGCGGTGGTAGAGGTGTAGATTGGACCGTGGGTTGGAGGTAAAGAAGCATTTGGGACGTGGAACTCTAAGCATATGCTGCACAAAAACAGTTGAATAGACATTGATCAAAATCATCCCTCGATTGGTAACTACGCAAACAAACAAAAAAACAGACAGTCTCTAACTTTTTCTGAGAGTAAAATCGTCTGCCTGTGTGTATGCGTGTGAATTCGGATCAACAGTCCGGCTGTGAAAGAAAAATGAGAGTGTACAAAACGTGAGGTCTCCGTATCTAAACCAGAAAACAAGACCCGGCATTAAGGCCCGCTAGAATTACAGCAACAAGAGAAACCTGGCCATCCTCAAGATGACAACAATCAGACCCTATCAAGAAGGCATACAAGAATGATAAAGGGAAATGTGTCATAAACATGCGTGATGCTGGGGTATCTTTAGTCTATACTTCTCTAACCCAAACCTAGCAATGCAGTTAGTATATGATTATTCAATTCGAGAAGGAGTATTTGGCAGAAACTTACCTCCATCTTCGCAACATCGGAGCTTTCTTTCCTGGCAATGCTCTTCGCCGCCTGGATAGCCATATCCAGATCGTCTTGATCAGCCATGGTAATCATGTCCCCATCGTCCTTGAACTCCAGCTTGAACTTGTTTCGGACACCAAACTTCTCCCGAATTTGTTGCCAGAATTCGGTGATGAGCTGGTCTGAGTTGATGAAGACGTAGCGTGTGTCGGTGGAGTGAACCTTCACTCTGATCTTGCTACCTGCACCGCGGTTGCTGCCACCGGATCGGGTGGACCTCGCTGGTGACCGTCTCCTTGTTTTGGTGCGGGGCATCATTTCAAACTCGGCATCGTCAAGATCACTGCCATCGTAGTCGTCTTCCTCCTCCTCTTCAATATACGCTGGTCTTCTGGTCGACTTTGTACGGGAGTATTGGCCACGGCTTGACCGCGATGGTGGATAACCATCATCCTCGTAGTAGTCATCGATGATGTCTTCGTCAGAGCCACGGCGGCGCTGCTGCCTGCTGTATTCACGATCGCGTGTGTCTCGCTCCCGCGTGTCCCGCTGTCCCCGATCACGCGTAGACTCTGAGCGAGCTGGTGGCGGTCGCTCCGATGCAGAGCGTTGTGTTGGCTGGCGGCGGGGCGGCTCTTGGCTGCTTGGCTGGTCGAAAGCAGCTCGTCCAAGATTCAAAGGCTGGGGCTTGGGCCCACCACCTCGTACAGATTGTGCGCGGCTCATGGGGGCATTGGGATCAGCTGCAGGTCGTGCTCCAGCAGATCTCCTTTCGCCAGATCGCCTATCTGCCTCTGGCGGCGGCGTGGGTGGGAATACATTACGGTTCATCGGGGGTTCCGACTGCTGGCGTGCTCGGCTTTGGAGCTCTGGCTTGACAAGGTTGGTTGCCGCATAGGAAATCTTGTCTTCGGTTCTGTCGTCCTTTGCAGCCTGGCCTCCCTTCTTAATCTCAGCGCCGGCAAAGCCGGTAAATGCGTTGGATCGGTCTGATGCGGCAACAAGGCGAGCCTTTCCAAGATAGTCCTTTGTTTTCAAGTTCTTGACCTTTGCCTCGTTGGGGCGATAGACAATGCCAACAGGAATAGAAAAGACGGTGTAGCCCTGGAGGGGTATTGTTAGTTCATAGCACATTGATGCAAATGTGGAGTCACACATACCTCTGCTTCCTCTCGAATGGCCTCATCAATCACATCGTGGTCTGGAACCACCTTCTCCTTGGCAGCAAAGGAGAGATCTTGCAGACCGGCTTCCCTCTGTTGGAGGTAGATGTAGCAGAGACCACGGTTGAACAAGACCTCACAAGAGTAGAGCTTGAACTTTAGGCCCAGCTGTTCGTAGTCGATGTTGTTGTTTCCACGCAGGTACAAGAGAGTGTCGTTGAAGTTGGCGAGAGCCTCCTCAAAGTCGCCCATGAGGAAGTTGGACACACCCTGCTGGAAGTATGCAACTGCGAGATACTGGTCCAGACGCACAGCGCGCTGGTAGCATTCGACCTGGGGGGTCTGTCAGTATGCTCCTCCTGGCATCCGTAGCGTAGCGCGCAACTTACTGCCTTCTCGTGCTCGCCGAGGGTAGCATGGATTACGCCGCAATTAAACAAAATCTTGGATGTGTCGGAGATCTGCTCAAAGACCTTCAGTGCCACGTCGAATTCGTTGTTGTCGTAGCTGGCGAGGGCTGCCACCCAGGTTTCGATTTCCTGGCCTTTCTATCAGCAATTGCAGGTGGTGAGGACTGTTGTTGAGCGTACCTGTTTCAGAGACATGACGAGTGGTGTTCACTTGTTTACCCGGCAGTATGGTGTCGTCAAGCCTCGGCTTACTCTCACTCTCCCGCTCTCTTCTCTTATCAGCCCACTTTGCGAGGGTCGTATATTCTTTCTCTCTTTTACACACACAAACACGGGAGGGTTAAAAGCCTTGGGGGGGTCAGGTGCGGGAGAATTAGGGTTGTAGCCGCCGGGGCTATTTGAGTGGCGCGGTGCTGACGATTATTGCTCCGGGAGGAAATGTGCGGTGGTGGTAAGTATTAGCAGGTCGAGACGGCCTGGATGCAGCTCGGAGCGGTTCACGGTGAAATAAACGATTGTAGCGGTGCAAACGATTAGAGCACAGTTGGAGGGCCGGAAGAGAGGGAAGAAGGTTTCGATGGCGACACGCAGAAGAGACAGGGGACGGCGGGCATATGGCGGGCGGTTGTGCTACGAGGGCTATAGGTGGGGAGAGCAAATCTGAGGTCCATCGTGTTTGAGGCACAAGGCTTGGCTGGCACCTCGTCCGTCGAGGTGATTGGACCCCTGCAACATCGACAGCGCTTCGAGCTGGCCGTCCAAGACGCCGCAACCCAGCCAAGTCAGCCAGCCAGCCCACCGTGGCACCACCGCCTGTTTGGCCTGCCCATGCCCATGCCCATGCCCATGCCTCTGCTCGCTCTCGTCCACCCGCCCTGTCCGCGAGGCGTGCTGGTGTCGGGGCTGCTCAGCGACCGCCTCGCAGCAGCCCCCTTTGACCAGGGCGTAGAGGTGGCGTTTGAGGTCTGTTACACGGCCACGGTCCGACTGAGACAGCCACGTGACAGAGGCCTCTGTCAGCCAGTCATCCCATCGCCTGGGGCTCTCAGGCATGAACGCATAACAACACCAATCCTCCTCGAGTCAACGATCCCGCACCCGCAGTTTCGGCCTCGCCATCAAGGCACGCGTATTATCTTAGCAGCACACCCTCGCGGCACTTGGACGGCTCTTTGATTGCTTGGTTTATCTTGGTATTACTTATCTGGTCCTGATCAGAGCATACCGCGATCACGCTGCTCCTCGCGCTCTTGCCATACCGTCTTGCCAGAACACGAACATACCGTCTTGTCGTCTGCAATTGCATCAACGTTAGCAATGGTGTGCGTGTGTGTGTACGTGTATGTGGGACCTGGGGTTGCTGCATGTCCCAGAACACGTGGGGAAAATGGCGAAGCACTTACTATCCCATACGCCCGCACTGCGTGCAATGACTCCAACTAGCGTGTCCGCATCGTTCTTGTCAAACTATCGTGACGTTAGATTAGATCAAGGCCCAGCACCATGGTGACGCATACCTTGCCGTCCTGCTCTCTCGCAACCACGATGCTGCGTCCGATCACTTCCCAGATGTGGATAGGCTTGTCGAGAAACACCGATCCTACTCCACCCTCTCCAACCTGAACAGTTCCAAAGATGCCTCGACAAGGCTTGGTCTCTTTTTGTGACTGCCCGAGTTCCCAAATCCCACCAGTCGATTCAGGTCCCTCGGAAATGTTTCCCGACTCACGTACTGTAGCATGATAGGTTCCAGGTGACAACCCTCTTATACTCAAGTCCACAATGGTCATACCAGGAGAAACTTCCACCATGCGCACCAGGCCGCGAACCTTGTTCTCCACCTGTGGCGCGTGTGATTCTAGAATGCATACCGCTGCACCTGCGTGGCATGGTCAATGTATATACGCGTGTGCCAAGTCAACGACACGAACGTACTGTCTGATTTGCCAGACCCCCGAAGAACAGCATCACGGCCAGTAGCTTGAATCGCCTCTACAATGGCCGACGGTGCTGCTGTGCCCTCGACAGATACTAATTGCTCCTTGAGGTTGGCAGTCACTTTGTTGATACCTGCACCTTGTCAGAAGCCGAAATGAGGTGCATTGGTAGTAGACGCTCGTACCACTCAACTGATGTAGGGAACCCTCGATGTCGTTGATGCACGACTGACAGGTCATGGGCACTGCGAATATCGTTTCAAAGGGCGTTACCGTCATGGCGAAAAGAGTGAAATCGGTATAATAATGCCAAAGGCTCGACTGTGGAACAAGAGGAAATGGTCAAAGTCGTGAAAACATGCCACTTCGCCCTTGTACTTATTACTCGCTTTGAAATCCACACCCGAATCCCCCGCCGGACATGGATGCTGCGCTGGGGTGGGCAGATCTTATCAATCATGTGACTACGTTCTGGAAATTGTGAGCATTGCGGCTTGGCATCAACCTTCACTGTGTAGCAATCACCACTGCGACCACGAGACTGCACCCGCCCAACCGCCTTCTGGACAGTCCTAAGGCGACTGCTGACTTGTCTTGATACAGCAGACAGTCGGTTTCCCTGGCCATTGGCCTCATACCACACAATGTCGCAAGTCATAGGCAAGGTACACATCCCCCATCGGACCTCCGCACGCCCATATCCAGATCCTCACAGCAAACCCCGTTCACCCAAATAAATAACTCCCCTTGATATACCACAGCTAACACAATACCCCAGACGCGCCTCGCCTACGCACGCTCCTGGCACCACCTCGACATCGGCAGCGACCCACGCGCTCTCGGCCGCGTCGCTTCCTCCATAGCCCTGACACTCATGGGCAAGCACAAACCCATCTTCGACCCCTCCACCGACTGCGGCGACTACGTCGTCGCCACAAACTGCGCCCAGCTCCACACCACCGGCAAAAAGCGCTCCCAGAAACTCTACCGCACGCACAACACCCGCCCTGGCTCCTTAAAAGAACTTTCAATGGACAAGCTCATGGCGAAATGGGGCGGCGGAGAGGTGCTGAGGAAGGCGGTGAGCGGCATGTTGCCGAAGAATAGGCTGAGGAAGGAGAGGCTGGCGCGGTTGAAGACTTTTGAGGGGAGGGCGCATCCGTATGGGGAGAATTTGATCAAGGTGGAGAATGGAGGCGGGCAGAGTATAGTGGAGCATCAGGATATTAAGACGACGTTTGCGCGGGCGAGGGAGACACAGGATGATGCCGCGCCGGCTTCATGACAGTGCGGAGCTGAGGTTGTGGAGATGGAGCAATTGAGATTGTAGACTTGTAATAAAACTTGTATGCATGAGCACGGTATGTATGAATGGTTGCATTTGGATTCTCGTATCTGTGGAAATGAACAAGCAAACATATCTGACACGCTATATTTAACCATGGGACAAGGTAAAGTCGGAAGAAATGTGATAAACGTAGTATTCAATTATTACATGTGAATCATTAACGCATGGCCAAGCCACTGAACACAATCCATTTCTTTTTTGAGTTTCTCTATTACCGGCATTGTACGCGTCTCTCCACCCGTCATCCAGCCATGAAGATATGTGCGAGAAGATAAAAAACATGCGTGAATTCCTTTGCCTAAAGAGAGTAAAGCCGCTATGCAAAAGCCCTGCCCGCCCATGTAAGAAACGTAAACGCCGTGAATGCCATTCTGAAACTCCTGATTCCATGGGAGAAGACAGAGAAATTTGATAAGAGAAGAGCGAGAAAAGAAGAAACCAGAGGCCCAAGGGCACAGTTGAGAGATACAAGCTGGCGAACAAAAGCGTGTCGCTTTACTCCTTTTTACTAGCGAGGATGCTGTACTGCCCGCCGCAACCCGCCCAGGTGAGCTTCGTCTCACGAACAGCAGTGTTGTCAATCATGGTCGGCACCTCAATGTCGTCATCAGTGCCCTGGCCGGTCTGATAGTTGGCCGAGAAGCCCCATGAATAGGCCTTGCCGTCCTTGTCAATGACGATGCTGTGATCAGGACCGCATGCACCAGTGACAATATTCTTGAGGTTAGGAAGAGGTGTGGGCTGAACAACAATCTTGGCCTTGCCATTATTCTTCAACACCTTATCCTCGTCTGTCTCAGCATCGAGCTCAGACGGAGGCAGACCGGTCTGCGCGCCGTCGCAGCGACCCCACACAAGTACTTGTCCATCCTTGGTGATGGCAAGGTTGTGGTGAGCACCTGCGGCTAGCGACTCCACTGACTTCCCTTCCAGGCTGTGTATAATCTTGGGCTGAAGAACGCTGGCATCCTCTGCACCAGCGTTGTCAGTGTAGCCCGTTTCGCAGTAGTTGTTCGCACCCCATGCCCAAATGTGCCCGTCCTCTGCGATCGCAAGACCATGGTAGTCGCCAGATGCGATTGATGCAATTCTCTGGCTATGCTTCTTGATCGAGGTATCGTGAAAGCCGATCCTGTTGGGTTGCAGAGCTTGGTGCAAATTGCGCTCAGTCACACGACGACCGAGTTGGTTCTGCTGACCGTTGCCCCAAGCATACACGTGTCGGTCCTTGTCCAGTATATAGACGTGGTTGGTACCGCAAACAATCTGTGTAACCTTCTTGACGGTATCCAGATAGACAGGACGTGGCGCAGTGTGGTTTCCACGCTCGAAACCAAGAATACCTTCGTTTTTGCGGAAAGTGCCCCAACCATAAACAGCTCCCTCAGTTGTCAGCGCAAAAGAGCAGCTATCGCCAGCAGCAACGTCGACAAATGTTGTGTCTTCGGGAAAGAACTCTGCGGGTACAGGCTTCGGTGTGGCTTCCTCGTCATTCAGACCACCAGTCTCGTCTTCAGAATCGGAATCGGAATCGTCTGCGCCGACGTCGCGCATCTTGACGTTGGCGCTGGATGTGTCACGTCCAAGTGCACCATTGTCGTTTACGCCCCATGTTAGGATCTTGTTGTCCTTTGTCAGCGCAACAACGTGCATACCACCAGTAGCGATCCTGACGACGTTCATGTTCGTCAGGGCTTCGTTGTAGCGTGGTCGCTTGACGTCGATGGCCTTTTTCGTTGCCCCGAATCCAAGTTCACCAGAGCCACCCTCACCGAATACGAAAACCTTGAGAGGTTCAGTGTAGCGGATGGCATTGATCTCGGTCTTCTTTCCCTTTGCGCGTCTTGGGCCCTTGGGGTTCGGGACGAGGGCGGGATTGACCTTGGCCTTAGGCTCAGCCTGTGGTGTTGGGGCCTTAGACTCGACCTTGGAGGCAGCTTCGGGCGTGGGCTCTGGCGACGCTTCAGGTTCGCCCTCGGGCGCGGTCTCGGGGGCAGCCTCGGGAGCAGGCTTGGGGGCGGCCTTTGGCGCAGCCTTCGCACCATTGACCTTGGCCTTCTTTACAGCAGGCGCAGGAGCCTCCTCTGCTTCTTGCTCGCTCTCCTCGTCTTTCTTGCGCTTTGTTGTCTTTTTGGTCGCGACTTTGGGCTCAGCCGCAGGAGTCTCTGTCTTCTTCGCGCGACCGCGTGCAGCAGCTGCAGGATCCTTAGCAAGTGATGGCTTTGGTTCGGACGCGTCGTCCTTACGCTTTTGAGCTGGTGCTTCGACCTCTTCGGTCTTTTCATCAGCAGCTTTGGTCTCCTCGGCTACACCATTGGTAGCGGGCGCGTCGTCACTCTTCTTTGCACCTTTTCGTGGGGCTGCGCGTTGGTTCAGTCGGAGCTTCGTTACTCGCGATGGGTGGTGTGACGTACCAGTGCCATTGGCTTTGACTTCTTTGACGGACTTCTTCTCAGCAGGCTTTGCGCTCGTAGCGCGAGATGCAGCAGTCCTTGCCATTATGCGCGACAAAGAAAACTTGATGCGCGTAAAAAAGGTTGTGTTGGAAACTGTGGTGGAAGAGGTTGGTGTTGTCCAGCACGGAAAAATGTTGAACTATTTAGTAGAGTTGGCGCTAGACTTCACATGGATCCACCGACGTGCAGCCACGGCCCGCCAGCTATTCACCGCGCACCTCACCGCCTGATTGGCTGTCCGGCATTCATTGATCGCGTTCACCCTCGAGGCGCGCAGCATCTCGCATTGTTCTGCTTTCATCACTACTGCATCCCCTTTTGGTCGTCCCGTGCGTCCGGTTGCTTACGTCATATCCGTACACCGCTGGTACCTAGATGGCCGTCCAGGTGCAAGCACATTCACTACAGGGGTGAACAATACAACATCTTCACCTCCTTCATCATGTTTCATCAGTTCCTTGTTCTTTTTGCTGTTCTGAAAGGGGCGTTTTGCGTTCAGCCGGAAGCACCACCGCCGAAAGCGGCTCCCCTGCGTGACCTGCCATGGGCCCAACTCAACTTCTTGCACACCACCGACATTCACGGCTGGTGGGGAGGTCATTTGCAAGAGTACGTGACATCTTCCTGATACTCCTCGGTGAAGTCATACTTGGCTCGTCAATGAAAAAATAACTCCACCGTGTTGCGAGTTCTTGTTTACTTGTAATGGTCCATGGTACAACATGATTTCTAACGTGCATCAGAGCATCCTACTCATCAGACTGGGGTGACTATGTCTCCTTTGCTAAACACATGCGCGAAAAAGCAGATGCGGATGGATCCGATCTGTTGCTCGTCGATACCGGAGACCGAGTAGAGGGTAAATTTCAAACGAACTCAATACTTGTGACACAAATACTGACCTCGCCTCTTTACCGTTCTAGGCAATGCAATCTACGACTCCTCGAAACCTCGGGGAAAGTTTACCTATGAGATCGCCAAGGAACAAAACATTGACCTTATTTGCTCTGGCAACCATGAGCTTTACAAAGCCAATACCGCTGAAGGGGAGTTTTTCCACACTGTTCCCGACTTCAAGGGTAACTACATAGCTTCGAACCTCGATATTTACAATCCAAAGACCGGAAAATTGGAGCCTCTTGCCCAACGGTTCAAGAAATTCACCACCAAGAATCAAGGTATTCGCATTCTGGCCTTTGGCTTTTTGTTTGATTTTACAGGCAATGCCAACAACAGCGTCGTGCAAAGAGTTGAGGACACTGTGAAAGAAGAATGGTTTACAGAGGCTCTCAAAGATCAAGACGTCGATCTTATCCTCGTATTTGGTCATGTTGATATCCGCTCCACAGAGTATGCACTGCTGTTCTCTACTATCCGTTCTTTGCACTGGGACACCCCCATCCAGTTCTTCGGAGGACATACCCATATCCGTGACTACAAAATCTTCGATAGTAAGTCGGTAGCTCTCGAGAGCGGTCGGTACATGGAAACCATCGGATTCATGTCTATTGCTGGACTCAGCACTGGAGAGACAAAAGGCGCAGCACCTGTGCCTCAAAGCTCAGCGCTCACCTTTTCTCGTCGCTATATTGACAACAACCTATTCTCCATGCACTACCATAGCGGAAAGGACGATCAGACTTTTCCGACCGAGCACGGTAAGAAAGTATCAGAAGCCATTGGCGATGCCAGAGAATCTCTCGGCCTCGGCAAGGTATACGGTTGCACACCACAGGATCTATGGATCAGTCGTAGGCCATACCCCCACAATGAGAGCATCTTTACCTGGATCGAAGAACAGCTCTTACCCCAGTCAATCGAGGAATCCGACCGCATCCGCAACGGGGGCAAAGCACTGGTTCTCACAAACACGGGCGCTATTCGCTTCGATATCTTCAAGGGGCCCTTCACCAAAGATACCAAATTCCTCGTCTCGCCGTTTACTAGCGCAATCCGATATATCAAAGACGTACCATACAAAGCAGCAAGCCAAGTACTAAAACTCCTCAACAACGAGGGACCGATCCTATTGGAAATGATGGAAAGCAGAGCATTCCTCCAACCTCCAGAAGCCTTCGCAGCAAAGTCTAGGCCACACATGCTTCAGGTACCCGCGACTGTTTTTGCAAAACCCGAGCACGGCCAAGCACCTCTCAGCAGTACCGGCGAAGACGAACCAAAGCCCTTCCCGGGTTACACGACAAAAGATGACGCTGGTACAGACGGTGATGATACAATTCACGAGCCAATTGCCTTCTACAATGTACCAAACTGTATCCAATCAGCCGTTGGATTCGACCCTGCGAGCAGCAAAGATCAGGAGCCTGAGACTGTGGATCTCATGTATAACCAGTTCATTGAGAAGTGGGTCTTGTTGGCGCTGGAATATCTGGGTGAGAAGCATAATGTGGATGATACGTTGGAATATGATGATGGGAAGAGCTTTACTGATATCATGACGGAATGGGTGGAGGAGCATTGGGGCAAGGATGGAGGGAAGTGTGATGAGCGATGAAGGATGATCCAGGGAGTCGTTCAGATAGTTTCATACGCAGCGAATCTTGTGATTATCGCTACTCTCCTTGCTATGCATGTGTTTTGCCTTGTCCCCAATGTTTCCAGAGAGATCGTATGTTTGAATGAAGTCGCACAAAACTGCTTGTATGGATTCTTTTTTGAGAGACTGAATCTTTGATGACGCCACTACGGGGCTGAATTGCAGAATTACCTTGAGCGTGTAACAGGCTCAACAAAATCCTCACGTCCGTCTCATGGTTCATATCCTTCAAGTTTCGAGCTGTGCTTTCGAAAAGTCTCTCAGTATAAACCAATACATTTCGCCTTAAAAACGCCGTGCCATGTAAATGCATGCCTGTCCCAAACTCCAAACAGTTCGTTTAAATCGTCTATCGACTATCGGCGGGCCGCGCGGGCTTGTTCTCGTTCGCTGGCGTTGTACCTATGAATGCTGTTAGTCTCCACCCGGGACGTAATCAAGACCATTGACTCTCGGAATCGCCGCGATTAATCTCCTGAGCCAGGTCGGCGCGCTCAGAACGAGGTACGTACTTCAGAAGCTTCTCGATCAGATCGACGTGAGTGAGAATCATGCGGCGGCAGCAGTAGCGCTGAAGACCGACACTATCGAGTGCTTCACTGGAAGAATATGCATGTCAGCAGAGTGTATACATCAAGGGCCTTAGGGTTCGCGCGTGTAGACTTGGGGTAGAAGCATCGTCCTACCCTGAGGTATTATGGATAGTGTAAAGGAGGTTGGTAAGAAAGTCAAAGGAAGATGGGGCGCTCACGCTTCCTCCATGCCATCACTGAGAAGTGCCATGTATTTCTCCCACAGGTCGCCGGTGACCTAACATCAGATCAGTGTATGCGCGCATGAGCTTGAGTGGTGGTCATAGTACCTTGCCACAAGAAAAGCAACGGATCGGGACAATCATTTTCAAGTTTCGAATACTTTATAAGTAGGGTGAAGTATCGCGATCGCGGTATTGCAGTCGTGGGATAACGCAAAAACGTAGTAAACTTGTGGTAGGTGGTGCGCAGCGTCCGCGATGCCGTCTCAAAGAAAGTTGCGTGCGGCGCGCTAAGAACGCGGGCGGTGAAAAGCTCGGGCCAGCTCCATCAAAAAAGATTCTCAAGATACATCCAGTGCACGACCATTACGACAATCGTCACCCATTCTGAATTTTTACGCCAAGCTTACTCTGAGGAGCAGCTATCATGGCGGACGCAACTCCCCAACTAAAAAGGAAGAGAGAGGAAGCTGCGGCGCAGAAAAAGGCCAAGAAGCAGAGGAAAGAAGAGGCCGCGGCGGCGCTCAAGGATGGTCGCAACGGCGAACCCACAATCTCTGCGGCTGATTCGACACCCAAATCTACTAAGACACCTACGCCAAAGAAGCAATCGAAATCGGCGCCGCAAACAAATGGTGTAGACAACGATGCGACCAACGGTACCCCCACAAGTGCGCAGAAAGCCAAGAAGCCGCAAGCGCAGCAGAACGGATCGGTAGACGATGACGAGGCACAAGCTGCCGGCGCAACAGTCAACGGAATTACCGATGAATTGGCGCAAGCTGAGGAAGAGAAACTAAACGGAGTAGTCAATGTGGGGGACAAGGCAGCACGAAGGAAGGCGAAGAAGGAGAGAAAAGAGAAGAACAAGGCAGAGCGCAACGACCTTGGCACGACCGACACATTGGAACTGGTCAAGAAGAAGAAGAACAAAAAGTCGGGAACTTGGGTTGTATCCCCTGCTCAAGGAGGATGGTACTTGCCTGCGGACCCAATATTCTCTAAAGATGAGAAATACCTAATCGTTGGGAATCTCAAGTCGCTGTGTGTCTATGCCACGGATACATCTTTGCTTGTCAGCGAGCTCTTGGACAACGATACTGGATCACTCACAGCATACGCTCTCTCCACTGTAGCGCCACACCTAATCTATGCCGCTTACTCGTCTGGAGAAATTATGTTGTGGGACTGGGTAACGGGTAAAAAGACCGGGCGATGGGAGATTGGTACTACGGTCCAGAACATGGCTGTTATCACACAGCCCGAGTCTGATCAAGATCTTGTGTACTGCCACGAATCCGAAGATGGTCATAGCCTTACTCTCCGCTCGCTTCGCACCAACCGCCAAAGCTCAGCCGGCGAATCCAAGTCGGAGCTCAAACAGATACTCAACACAAGCTCTGCAATCCGCGGTATCCAGGTTCTCCTACAAGGCAAATACGTCATAGTTGCAACTGTCGATTCACTCATTGTCGGGAAGCGCATTAAGATCACAAAAACAGCGCTTCACGAATTTGAGTACGTCTGGCGCGAGCTGAAGTTCTCAAAGCACATCAGAACCTTCAATGTCTACCATCGCGAGAAGCAGGAAGCCAGCAATGGAAAGAAAGGTGCACAAGATCAAAGGGAGATCCTTGATGTTGCCGTTGGCGAAGAGACTGGCCTCATCCTCTTGTTCGAGGACATCTTGGCCTCATTTGCTGCGATTGAAAGCAGTCAGAAGGGCAAAAAAGAGAGAACAGATACTGCTGAGAGCTTCAGGCCCAAGCGGCTGCACTGGCACAGAGATGCGGTGGGATCCGTCAAGTGGTCATTAGATGGTGAGTGTGTTCGTATTTAGGGATGCATACAATTACTGACATGGCCAGGCAATTACATTGTTTCTGGTGGTGACGAGACTGTTCTCACGATCTGGCAGCTTGCTACGGGACTACCACAACACCTACCTCACCTGTCGGCAGCTATTGAAAACATCGTAGTCTCTCCCACGGGTTCTGCTTATGCTCTGACACTTGCCAACAACTCAGTCATCGTTCTGTCTACGACCGAGCTCGAGGCGCGCACCAACGTTGTTGGCATCCAGTCACGAAGAATCGACACTGAGCAAATGCCAAAAGAGACCAAGTCTGGTAATATGTACCTTGGCATCTTCGAAGCAGTACCTATGATCGCAGACCCCACAAACCCTAATGAAGTATCATTTGCAGTGCCTTCGTCACAGCCCCGTCAAAAGAAGGGAGGCCTGAAACCAGAGCCATACCTACAGACGTTTGACCTTGCGAATCAGCGTGCCAAGAGCCGACAGGCATTGACACGCAACAACGCAACAGAGCCTAATGTTGCTCCTGACGGCGGCCGGATCGAAGAACCCAACGTTACACACATTCAAATCAGCCATGATGGAGAGTGGCTTGCGACAGTTGATGAATGGCTTCCACCAAAATCGGATACTCGTTACCTCAATGAAGGCATTCCTGAGTTCAATGAGCAGGAACGCCTGAACCGTCGAGAGGTATACCTGAAGATCTGGCGACGCGACAACAGCAGTGGACAATGGAAGTTGGAGACTCGAATTGACGCACCGCATTTCTTTGAGGACAGATGTGGCAATGGACGTGTTTATGATCTTGTCGCTGACCCTACTGGTGCTGGCTTTGCGACTGTCGGCGAAGATCATGTTGTAAGGACTTGGAAGCCGAAAACGAGACTACGCGATGGCATTATCGTTCGCGGGGCTCAGCAAGAAGGTCTGATTACCTGGTCACTCGACCACGCGATTGAGATCAGTGACAAGCTTGGTATTACCGAAGGATCGCAGCAGTCTTTGCCTCCACGCACCTCGCGGTTAGCCTTTTCTGCAGACGGTTCGGTTCTTGCTATGTCCGTTTCTTGGGATTTCGAAGAGGATGCGGGAGTAACGCATTTGATTGACACCAGCAGCGGAACTATTCGACGGTCGCTGACAGAGATTGATGTGACTGCCTTGTCAGGTCTTGGGTTCGTCAGACAGTACCTGGTAGTAGTCGCAGATGCCATTACCGTCTGGGACATGGTCGCCGACCAGCTTGTGTACAGCGTCTCAATTGAGACCCCTGGCCTTGACCGCCTGGAGCGCGTGCCCCTGGTCCGACTTGCTACGAATGAGACGGATGGTACATTTGCTGTAGCATTACCTCGACTGGAAAAGAGCGAGCTGCATGCTTCCAAGATCAAAAAGGCGTCGTCCAAGGTCTTGATCTACAGCCCGGAGCATCACAAGGCGCTGTGGAGGGGGAGCCTGTCGCCTATCACTCTGGCTCTTGCATCTCGAAGAAGCGAGACCGGCTACATTGTCCTCGACTCACGCTCTTGCCTCAAGACGATCAGCCCAAATGCTGGTCCCCTGCAATTTCTCACCCCACCACCTGAAGAACAGCTCGAGGCGCACCGTATCACCCACCCAGATGAGGCTGACATGGAAGACGATGAGTCCGAGCGACCTCTAGCCAACCTTTTGGTGTCGGAGGATCTCACGCAGGACATTGATCAAGACGAACATGTATTTAACATGCAGGACCTACAAAACGTGCTGCATGATGGCTCTGTACCCCCGCCTCCACAGGGCCTTTTCAGTAATATTCTGGCGTTGATTGGTGGCAAGACACAAAAAGTAGCGGCATAGACGCTGTGCATATTTGGCGATTATGTATCTCATTCGCTTTCTTCTTCTGTAGGATACAATGATATTGACGTGTTTGTATGTTACAATATTGTGAAGATAGAATATGTTGACGTTTTGGAGGACGGTGTTGAGTCTTCGTCTTTCAACACAAGTCCTTATTAAAGCAAATGGTTATTACAATAATGCTATGCTTGCTGCGCATATGTGTTATTCCGCACACTCGCTCCTTGCATCACAATCCCGGTTGTCCTCGCCTTGCCTACTTACGCAAGGCCACCAACCCCTCGGTACCAAACAAATGCGGGGTCATCCTCAGCGCCCCGCCCCACTGCATCAGCCATGCTGTTTCCGTGTTGTCAGCATCTCAGCCTCTCATTGCATCGAGCCCAGCTCTTTTCATCTCAATCATTCAAATTATAGTCATGTTAAGTACAGAATTTGCCATCAACAGAACACGCCCGCTTGGCTTAGTGGTACAGCGTCGCACTCGTATTATATTATATGAAATGCGAAGATCCGCGGTTCGATTCCGCGAGTGGGCATCTCATTGAGTGTATTCTGTTGTTTTTGCACTCGATACCTTGTTGGTATGCTCGAGTTTGGTTGGGGTTGGTAATTTTATTTTATTTTTGAAGTTTGAATCAAAGTGTGTACGTATATGCGGTTCTTGTTGCTGATTTGGGGCTAGCGCAGGAAGTATAATCTTTCATTTATTTTTAGGCATGGCTATGAGAGGTAGGTTCCTGGAGAAAGTTATTTTATTCTATTTATTGATTCTTCGGTAAATGTGTTACTTAGTAGGGTGTGGTTTCATCTGTAAGTGAAAGTGATAGTATTTACTTGAATTAATTGTATAGACTCTTGCTATTCCAAAATTCAACTCAAGGCCACCAACAGTACTCTACCAAGATATCAAAAAAAAAGACAAAGAGTTTCGAAACAAAGTAGCAATACACGTTATCTCATCCACCAGGTTCATGAGTTGCTAAAGTCTGAATCTATGCAGGGTGTGTGTGTGAAGGACTAATTAGCGCATTTAGTCCGCGTCACAACACACCACGCCATTCTCCTCCTACGCCGCGGAACACAGCGAGTAAACAAAACTTTATTCCGTCAGTTACGCCGGATAGGTTTTTTTTCCGCTGACAACCGCGGGGTCCAATGGAAAGATGGAGTGAGATCAGGGGAAAGAGAAATAAGGAAATGGAAAGGGGGGGACTAGACCTTGCTTATCGGATATTGGGGACGGAACTGAACGAGGGGAGAGGTGGGGGGGACGGAAAGAGAGAATTAAGGTTCGGATAAATTGGAAAGGGAGAAAAAGGAATAATTAGGTGCTGGCTGCTAGCGGACCGTTTGCGGTGCGGGACGGAGTAGTGGGTGGAGGGGTAGAAAAAACAATAATATTTTAGAACTTGTCCGGTGGAGTGATCTGGGTTGATTATTGAGAAGGAAAAGGAAATGATATAATGATCGAAGATCGATGAATTTTCATCTGACAATCATACTGGAACAGACTAGCGAGGCTGTTTCAGAAGCAAAAAAATATGGATAAAAAATATGCCAAGTGAGGTTGGCGTGAAGGATAGTATTGGTATGGAATAAAGTTACTTTGTTCCTCCCAGTCGTCAATAGAGGTATATTCCTTCTTCATCTTCATCGCCTCCTTCCCTTCAGCCTCTCGGGCCCCAACAAAGTTTGCTCCGCTCTGCGTGCCTTTTCTCTCTCCACATTACCATACTGGTTCTCGACTGGGGGGTATCGTTTGGTTGTAAAATGCATTGTATGCGTAGTATCGGCACACAATGTAAATGGGAGTAATAATGGAAAAAAAGGGAGAATAGACAAGAGCAAGGAGACTGATGGCACAGATTTTTCTTGAATCAAAGAAGAAACAAAAAACTCCCAAACCTGCGGCCTCTGGTGTCATGAAAGGAAAAAAAGGGTGTATATGTGATAAACAAAAAAACAGAGGAAAAAAAGTAAAGGGCGTTAGGAAGAAGTGTGAGATGCCGTTAGAAGATGCTGTCATGAACATGAATGTCCTCCTCCTCGTCCCCTTTGGTTTCTTGCATATCTCGTACCATAAGTGGTGTGTGAGTATGCTTGTTATTAATAGAATTCTTGTTTTATAGCTCCCATCGTGTCGACTTTGATTTGTTATCGGAGTTGGAGTTGTTGTTCTTGGGCTGGATAGGTTCGTCGTGCTTCCCAATGTCTTTGAATAGATCGTCGGCGCTCAGACTCAGCGCATCCTCATCGAGGCCAAAAGAGCTCAGACCAGGTAGAGCCGGGGCCGGAGGACCCTTCTGTTCCGGAGCTTGGACAGGCTGGGGCTGCGAGACGGTGCGAGTGTTTGCGTAAGTGGGCGTGTTGACGTGGCCCTCTGGGACGGGGCCGGCGATGAAGGTTTTCCTCTTGCCGAACCAGCTGCCACTCTTCCTCCTGTTCAGACTGGGCGCCTGGCTGGTGATGGTCGCGGGAGAGCCCGGCCGGTCAGACTTGAGGCTGTCGGAAGAGGAGAGGGTGCGAATGCCGAGAAACTTGCGCACAGACGTAGGACGTTTGCTCGAGGGACTCGTGGGGGACATGGTGCTTGCTCCATCACTGGTGCGGCTCTCTCGCGGGTATGAATCAAGAGTCAAGTCGTCGGATGGCTTTTCTGGAGGAGGCGACTCTCTCTGGGGTGGCGAGGTGGGCGACTTGGGGGTGGGATGGGAGGAGAGCGGTCCCTTACCCGGTGTGGGAGGGCGAGGCGAGTCGGGCGGACTGTCGAGCGGCGCGGGTATCGAGGTGCCCTCTGTGAGGGAAAAGTTGATAGGCGTCAGCGTCAATGGCTTGTACTGGAACTTTGTCGACGACATGGCGGGCAGAGGCAGGCGCGTGGACCAGGCGAGAGTGGTGTTGGGGTGAGGTTGGGAAGCAGAGAGAGTCTGCTAGGGTGGCAGTGGAGGTGCTGTGGTTGGCGTGGCAGCGGTAGGTGAATAGCAACAAGTACTATAGCAAGAGGCCGCAGGTGGGTGGAAGCTTCAGGAGGTGCGTCGGGCTGATGAAGCGGAGGAACGTGACGGGGGTCTCCACGGCCGGGGGTCGAGAAGTGGGTAGCAGGGACCGGGGGCGTTGGCACGAGTTGCAACACGACGGAATACTACGCAAGACGCAAGACACGCAAGCGAGCGAGCGCGGCAAGGTAAGGCGAGGCGAGGCGCGGCAAGGCAAAGGGTAGTGTGTGTGTGTGGACAAGGCGCCCATGCGTGGCTGGCCCAAGTGAGTGCGCAATTTCCAACGGCGACGACATGGAAACACAGCCAGTTGAGTGTGTATGTATATAGGACGACTGTGTAAATAGATGGCCGCTGTCCACACACTACATACATAGGCACATGCATAAAACCCGCGCCGGCAGACGATATGCAGCCCAAGCCCACGTACCTGGCATGCCGTGGCTGCCCGCCCTGCGCCGCCGCTCTCTAGCCTGCCCGGCCCCATTCCACCAGCCACTCAGCGCTGCCCTCGCCCACACTCGCCCACGGATCACGACGTCGACATCCATACAACCATCATCCATACGCATACTACACGACTGCCTGCCCAAACCCAGCCCATGTCTGATAACACTGTGTTTTGTTGACAGTCGCCCGTCCGACCTACAGCACTGCCTTCCGCTGGCTTGTCCATTTCCTTGCGCTACCCCTGATTGGCCGGCTCCCGACATGCTGATGTAATCGCCCTGCCGTCCCTTCCATGCCACCTTCGGTGTATCCATACATACATCTGTACCATACATCTGTACCATACATCTGTACATACACACGTACATACACACACAACTCGCTCATACCCCCCTTCACCGCGTCTTACGCTGGTGAATCTCGTCCAGTTCCGCAATCTCATCCAACAACTGGCACGTTTCCAGCGGGTTGGCAATCCATGCTGTAGTGCACGCCAATCGCGCCTTGAAATCATTTGCTCCCGCACTAAGAAACTGGTCGCCCACATGCAGCGTCTTGCTGCCTGCAATTCCCCCAAAGATGCGCTGACACGCCAGTACTCCCCATGATTTGTCCCCAATGTCAACAAACACGTCGTTTCCGCCTGCTTTCGTGTCAGTACACATATATCTTCACCCCATATTGCCCAGGATCGCGCCTTGTAAACTCACCATTGAACGCGCAAAACGGCAGCCGTTGGCCAACCTCAGAAATTTCCTACTAGTGTCAGCACAGCCCACTGCCCCCGTCTCCGACGCACATACCAAAATCTTTTGAATAATCAACACTGTCTCTTCTAGCGTCTCGCGGCAAAATTTGTATCCAGGCTTGGGCACAATGCCCACTGCTCTCTCTTTGCGCACCACATTGGCCTCCATCCGGAAGTTCCGAATCGTGTCCCTCAGCGAGGCCTCTGCCAGGTCCAGGAGGTCCTTGATATCCGTCTCGTGCCATAGCAGCATCTCTTCCAACAGCCACTCTGCTCGCGGTACCAGCCTCAACAGCACTGGGCTGTTTTCGTCAAACTTGAAACAAAAATTGCTTTCGCCTCCCATGATGAGCAGGTTCTGGCGAGCTTCTCGAGGCAGATCAGAGGCCTGGATGGCATCGAGCAGGCCGTGAAGTCTTTCGTAGTATGGTTTTGCCTCGGTGTATCCAGCAGCCGTAACAATGCCAATCTTGGATCCACGTCGCATCAGTCCCAGGATCTTTGGGATGATTGGATTGTCGGGCTCAAGATTTTTTCCGTCGTCATAGAGCGTTACATCTCCGTCAAAAGTCACGAGTTCCAGCGGGCCATTGCGGATCAGACTCATTACCTGGGCTGTGTTGAGAACCAAGCGAACGTCATTGAAAGAAGGGGGCACAAAACGCCGGTGGCTAATGAAACGCCGCTGGTCTTGCCATATGAATGCATCGTGTAGTGCTAGTGGTGTGAAGAAGTTTGCTACTGACGGCACCAGCAGCTTCAGCTTTGACCGGTCTGGCTTGCCATCTTTCTGGTGTTGAACTGTACGGCGTCAATACAGAACAGCTTGGCTCTATGCTTTAGAGAATCCATAAGCTTCAATTACTCACTGTGATCGTTGATTATCTCTTCCACATCACGCATAATCTCGGCATACCGCCGCTGAGCAATGTTGGCCTGCTGTTCGACCGATTCGCCATTGGGTTCAAACACGGCTGTAGGATGCGAGTGCAACACAAACGGAACAGCTAACAGACCCTGCAAATCTATGAGAAACTGGCCAATGTGACTTTACAGGCACAATGGGTATTACCTTGATCCATTCAATCTGATACCACGGTTAGCCAAAGCAGGGAATAGAAACTGAGTGATACTCACGAGCTGATCTCTTCGATGAGTCTTCCAGACATATTAGCGGTGTACAGCCAAATGCTCAGTTAATCACGCTCCACACACCTTGAGAGCATCTACAAGACAGGGAGCATCATGTCAGCATACTGGTTGCTTGCACAAGTAGCCATAGCAGTAAAAGGCGTCAGCACTTACATTCTACACGGTATCTTGTCGTCATTTTGGCAGCAGTTCGGTCTGTGAGAGTGGGAGAAAAGAGAGGAAGATGGGAGAAGAAGCAATAAGGTATGAGCTGTCACTATGGTTGAGGCTGTATGTCCAAGCTTATCGGAGTCCGCCGCTAGTGGCTCGAGAGGGAAGGGACCATGCACAGGTGACCTGTGATATCCCCGCACAAAACTACTACATGCACTACGACAAGATCAAGAGGCTGTACTTCGATGTATGACCGCTATCACTGGTTCGGTCATCACTCGCCTCTCCGCACCAAACAATGGACGCTGCACCAGGAACCCGTGGCTCCGTGTGCAACGCAAACCGACAATCGATAAGCGGGGGATCTACCAGCGGCCGCTACTGAGAGCTCCGACCTTTATGCAAGGGCCCACCGCGCCGGAGCAAACCACTGCAACTCACCTTCTACAATCCCCTCTGCCGCTGCTAGCCTTGCCGTCGCCATGGATTCACTAAACAATGTCACGCTGCGGCCATGGCCAGCTACCGAAAAGGAAGAGCTGACCCAGGACGACCTGTTGATCAAGATTGAGCAGCTCGCAAGCGAACGGGGCCATTTGCGCAACATCACCGAACAGTCGCTGCAGCAAGACATTGACACGGGAAAACACGTGCCCGACGATGCCGACGACGCAACTAAGCAGGAGGGCAAGGACAAGGAAACCGATGCGCCGTCCCGTCAAGAGCAAGCAGAAAAGGTGTTCAAAGCAGGCCAGGAAATGTACAGCCACTTGGAGTACGTATCACCCACATTGCCACGCCGACGACGCGACGTCTGACGAGAAACAGGTGGGCCAAGTTTGCTGCTACCAATGCGCTCGATCTCGTCTCTCTCGTCCTGTCGCAAGACCCGAACAAGCGCAGCCTCAACTTCTTCAGCCCAACCTTTCGCGAGCAGGGTCTGAACCAGGGCATTCCTCTCGGGTCTTTTGGCATGAGCCGGGAGAATCATGAACACCGAATCCGTAAGCCCGAGGAGCAGCAGAGGTTGCAGGATGTCGAGGCGAGACAAGAGGTTGTGGCACAAGGCGCACGTATGGACGCGCTCGACTCGTCAGTAGATGAAATCTTAAAGGCAGCAAAACACTTGGAGAAGGAAATACGACGAGAAACAAAGTACTGGCACCAGATTGTTTCTGTCTCGGATAAGGGCTGGCCTATTCAGCGTCTACGTCAAAACGTGCGCCACGCACCTTTTGCGGTGCGCTATGGACTTCCAGAAGGTAAGGCCCACCCATTGAACGGAGATGTACCAGAGCTGACAGAACCTTTAGCGAGTGATCACTTCAAAGCCCGTGGTTTCGCCCCTCTGCAAATGGATAAGGATGGCAGCATCATTCTAGATCCAGCTCTTGCACTAAAGCCAAAGATACTCCGCGTTCGAATCAGTGTTAATGGAAAAATCACTGGAACATCTCAAATTTCAATTGACACCGAGCTCGCCAACCAGTCACTGGAAAAGTCCATCCAGTTGGCACGGGATTCTTTGTTCGAAGAAGAGCTCTATTACGAGATGAGTTTGGAGACGCGACAGTTGTTAGCATACGGAGTCGAATTCCGGGACTCTGTCATTTATGTTGATGCGCCTCAAATGGGCAGCCTGTCGCAAAACCGCAAGCTGCTCATCGACTGTGTACCCCGAGACGATCCTATACCGAGCAGCCAATCTCGCGAGTACGACTGGCTGGCTAAGAATATTGCTGAATCACTCCGCCTTTTGCTGGCTCATGAGCATAGCATGCGTCTCTATCGGAGATCACAGCTCCCACCTCCATTAACAGGAAAATCACGTGAAAAACAACCACCGCCATTGCTCCGTACACTCCTTGCTGTCCTTTACCACATTGAGGGCGTGGATTCGCTTCACGCCTATCTTGGATCCGTTGCGAAAACTCTCCGCAGCGCCGGTCTGGACGTGACCTTGGAAACAACGCGTGAAAATTCCTGGGCAACTCTTGTTGGAAGCTTAGAAACATCATCCAAGAAGGGCATATCAGCTACTGATCAGCTCTTTGAGATTTTCATGAAGCCGTTTGGTGGAACTGCTACTTTGACCCTCCCTACTTCAAACGGCGCACAGTCGGAGACTTTGAGTATCATTACACGTACCATCATCGGCCAACCCACTTTCGGCACGGAACATAGATTAAGTCTTCCGTCCACGCTAAGCTCCGATCTTGGATTGTTCCAGCAGCAGAAATTTGCTACTGTCGAAGAACTCAAGTCGTATCTGGACTGGATCCTTTCGCTCCACGTTGCCCATCGATTACTCAAGAACGACTACTCTTCACGCGCGCAGACCAGAAGCCAAGATGCGCGGCTCTCGATTCGGACCAAGGATGCGAAGAAAGGTGTTGCATCATCAAAGGATATTAGAATTGAATTCAATGATGGGGAGCTCAAGATCGCAAAGTTTGCCACAGATGCACCGGAGGAATCTGAGGATTCAGAACAATCGCATACCTGGGTTGGGACAGATGACAGCACCTCTTTAAAAGAGGTTATCAAGAGTTGGGTTGGATGAAAGTCTAGACCAAACGGCAGCTGCACGCAAAGTTTCAGCGTCCCTCCAGCTGCTACGTTGTCCGAGACTACATTCCATCCGATTTAAAAACGAGGACAGTCATTGTCGATTGTAAGATTATACAAATCCCTACGACATCAAAAATACAAGCCTTCCTGCTCTTAGTTCAAGAACAGGTACCCTGGTCTAGCTCCGTCCGCACCGTGCCGCCAATGTCGCATTGCATCACAAAAGCGGGGTGAACCGTTATGATGTCTAAACCGTAATTAGGTAAATACTCTTGGATACAACCTCAAATGCAGAGCTAGATCGCCTGTAACCCTTGTTTTTTCAAGTACCTGACACGTACATGACGTGGAGACTATTGTACGGCCTAATCGTACCATCTGAGGTCATTTTCGCAGTTTACGCGTGTTCAATGTAGAGTTGTATAAGTTGATGATGGCAGACGCCATGCAGTCATGTGTCTATACACACTCTTCGGCTCAAGATGTTAGCGAGTTCAATTGTAGCGACATTGAGCACTTTGCTCCCTGTACTGTCGAGCGCACAGCGAATCCGGTTTGATCCTGGCGTCGCAGGCCCACCACTCGAAATCGTCCACCTCTACAATGACCAATGGCCAACTGGTACTTTTGCCTGATGTCTCACTCATCGAACTGATCGCCAACTTGACACCCCTCTAGGTATCACCGTCTCCAAAACCGGACGTAAATTCTCAAACTACCCTTCCGGCCTCGACCCCAACAACACCAACACGGGCAGCAACAACAAGCATGCCATAGCAGAAATCCTAGCCAATGGGACTGAAATCCCCTATCCAAATGTAGACATCAATAACCCACCCGATGGAGCAATCAACTACACCGTCTCTCCACCCGTTGGCGCAAACTACCCCAACTACCTCATCGGCGTCCAAAGCGTCGTGCTCGACGCCCAAGACCGCCTCTGGATCCTCGACACCGGCCGCGCCCTCACCCCGGACGGCACTCTCGTCCCCGCCTCCCCCGGCGGCCCCAAACTCATCGCCGTCGACATCTCCAGCAACACCGTGCTCCAAACCATCATCTTCCCGCCGACCGTCGCATACCCAACCTCGTACCTCAACGACATCCGCTTCGATCTACGGCCGAGTCTCAGCGGCACTGCCGGAAAGGGAATAGCCTACATCACCGATTCCTCCAGCGAAGGCCGCAACGGCATCGTCGTCGTCGACCTCGGGTCCGGAGACTCCTGGCGCCGTCTCGACGGTACCGCAGAGGTACGTGCTGAGCGTGGTTTTGTACCCTATGTATGGGGTCAACCTTTGTACTACATCCCCGGTCCCGGTCAACCTCTTACTACCGTCCCCCTGGGAAGCGACGGCATTGCCCTATCGGCATCAGGCGAGGACTTATATTTCGGGCCTGTGGGCGGCAGATCGCTGTATAGTGTCCCCACCGAGCGTCTGCGGGACAGGAGTGACGGCAGTGCGGAGTTGAGGGCGCAGGCGGCGGTGCAGAGGAGGGGGGAGAGGGGCGTGAGTGATGGGTTTGAGACGGATACGAATGGGTTTGTGTATGCGGGGAATATGGAGCAGAATGAGGTTGGGTTTTATAATCCCGAGAATGCGTCGGTCACGCAGTTTGTGAGGGATCCGAGGATTAGTTGGGTGGATACTAGTAAGTCCTTTTCCTTTTCATTCTTTCTATTCTCTTCCTTTTTTTTCTGGGTGCGTTGATGCTGATATGAACACAGTGTCTGTTGGAAGCGATGGGTATCTGTATTTCACGGATAACCAGCTTGCGTTTAGCTCGTCGTTTTACCCGGGAACGGATCGCAGAGAGAGGCCGTTTGTGCTGTTTCGAGCACCGCTGCCGAACAATGGGTCGAGAGTATTTCTACAGTAGAGAAAACTAAGCAGAAGATGACATACTTAATTTCTATATACAAAGACTACGCAGCCTATGTCTTGCCAAAGACGAAAATTCCTTTGCCGCTCCTGTACCCTTCCAGTGTATCTTTGACTTTGGCAATGAGCTCCTCTCCCTTGGTCTCCCACTCCCATTTGATCTCGTCAACAGGCATGTCTTTGAATTCTCCCTTTCGCGTCATGTCCAACACATCGGCAACAGTCTTTTGCTTCTCGTCTGGATGCTGCTCTGCCCACCTGCTCACCCAGAATCCGTGGAAGTGAATGTTTTTGAAGATGAGCATCGACGCAGGGATAGTCAATGGCTGCTTGGACATGGCGCCATAGGTAACAAAGTGAGCGGATGAGGACAGAAGCTTCGCCATTGCTGTTGCCGCCTTGCCGTTCACACAGTTGAGCGCCAGACGAATTGGTGCGCGACCCCCGTTTGTCCATTCTTTGGTCTGGTCCTTGATGCTTTGTGATTGCAATTCTGCATCTGTAATAACAACGTCTGCGCCAAGGTCTTGCAGCTCCTTCTTCATGGCATCCTCTTTGCTCTTGTCGTCGCGACTACGGATCACGTTGATGCTTTTGTAGCCCCACTTCTTGCCTATCTGAATGGCTGCGCGGCCAACGCCAGAGTTTGCCCCATTCTGTATGAACCAGTCGCCTTCCGAGAGGGTGGTGAAGTCGCGGAGCATCCGGTAGGCCGTGCATGGGTTGATAGATACAGTGCCGGCCTGGATTGCTGTGATTCCTTCGCGCATCTGCTCGTCGAGCTTTACTACGTCGTTGGTTGTGGCACTTGCGTGTGTGCGCCATGTTCCGAAGCCAGGTCCTTTCATGAATACCCAGTCGCCCTTTTTGAATCCCTCTTTCTTCACACCTTCGCCCAACGCAATGATTTCAGCTACGCCCTCATTTCCAGCAACGGCGATTGGCTTTGGGGTACTTAGGTCGGTTGTGAACCTGGGCTTCGACGGGTAGACACCTTGGATCTGGTTGATATCGGCGGGGTTAATCGGCGATGCGAGAAATCGTAGGGTCATGAGATTGCTATGAGGCGGCGAGATGGAATGGCTGTGGAGAGAGAGCACGGCAGGAGGCTCTCCATATTCGGAGAAGGTGAGGGCTTTTGCTTGTTCGTAGCCATAGGCAGAGATGTAGCGACGCTGTGGGAGCCGCGATACAGTTGGCGCAAGATTTTGCGCGCGGCGGATGCACGACTGCGCTGCCCGCGGAGACTGAGTAATTAGCCTGGAAGCCATTGTTGATATTAATTGGGTAGGAGAGAAAGGTTCCTCAGAGCCTAAAGCTCACGGGTGGTGCTCACGCAAAGTGCTATGGGACTACGGAGCTATGACGTTAGTTTAAGCCAGGGTTTGGTGGAGCGATGAAGCTTCGTAGTGGATTATTCCACCCCTGATCAACCCACATGTGTAGTATGTTCTTGCTTGTAATCTCTGGGACATCTGCATAATCCATGGGGGACATCTGCATAACCAAATATCGTAATTCTTCAAATGCCGCACTTTGACCGCGGTGCTTCTGTGCTTACCCACTTGGTATCAATAAGCCCGGGCGAATACAAGCGTCTACAGCGTAAAAGATGATCATACTCCATTATAGTCTAGTCATGACTTACTTAATCTACACATCTGTTCCCTAGGCAATTACATATGTGGCAGTGCAGCTTCACATGAAAGACAGTATAGACAAGGTGGCGTTTCGTGAATGTTCGCTCGCGCTCGTGCTCGTGGTATGCCGTCTATACGCCACTAGCACCGCCCCACCTGCGTCATCGCACCCTTGCGTCGTCAGGCTGCGCCCCTCTCTGAGCTGGTTTCCGCACCCCTCACCACTGCTACAAATACCCCTGGTCATACGTGTCTCCTGCCATACACCCTACACTACTGTACTTGTTTCTACGCACTTACAATCCACTACAACCTAACACCTTTCAAACTACAATACACATCCACCATGGCTGCCACCGTCAACGTAGAGAACATTTCCATGAAGACGAGCGAGGAGGAGATCAAGAGCTTCTTCAGCTTCTGCGGAAAGATTCAATCCATCAGTGTAAAGCCTACTGGCGACGACGCCCAGTCCGCCTCCGTCACCTTTGAGAAGGCTGCCGCCGCAAAGACCGCCCTTCTCCTCGACAACACTCAGCTTGGACCCAACTCTGTGCACGTCACTGCTGCTAAGAGCATCGATGAGCTTGCCGGAGAAAAGTCCGCCTCAGCCGAAGAGGCCAAGGATGGCGACCACCACATCGAGCAGGAACAGAAGCCCCGCGCACGCATCGTTGCCGAGTACCTTGCCCACGGCTATGCTATTTCAGACAAGGCCATTGAGCGTGCTCTGGCCGCAGACAAGCAGAACGGCTACAGCACAAAGTTCATGAACTTCATCAACAACGTCGACCAGAAGACCCAGGCTACACAAAAGGCTCAGGTCGTGGACCAGAAGCTTGGCGTCACAAACAAGGGCTACGCTGCCTTCAACACCTTGACCAGCTACTTCGACAAGGCTGCCTCAACCCCTACCGGTCAGAAGCTCCGTGCTTTCTACGAACAGGGCAACAAGACTGTCATGGATGTTCACAACGAGGCAAGGCACTTGGCGGACCTTAAGAAGCAGAAGGCTGGGGAGACTGGTGCCACCACCACCACTACAGAGGGTAGCGAGAAGCCCAAGGAGACTGTCACTGCTCCTGCCCCCACCTCATAGAAGAGTTCTTTGAAAGACACGAGGTTCCTTTCTTTCTTGACGATACCTACATGGTTTATAGTACTCATGATTACTTGCACATGATACCGAAGACACGAGCGCGGAGTTTGGGATGAACTGGCCTGGGCAGTTATGAAGCAATAAAACAATATAGTTTACCCAGAATTCACTTTGTTTGTTGAGATTCATTGAACAACGACATCTATTACGCGTCTCTGAAACGATAAAAACTAATAAGTCACTTGAAGCCAAATGTTACTACCAAACACAATCAAACAATGTAAATATGAACGCTCGCCCCACAGGAAACTGCTCAACGCTTCTTGTCTAGTATCCCCACTCCCCACCATCTAACAGACTCTGACTCGCCACAAAGCTAAACCCGCCAAACGGATTGTTATTCTGACTCTCAAACAGTGAATCATCAAACTTCTTGGTCAACACGGGACTAAGCGGCAAATCCGTAAAGTCCTGGGCAAAGTTCTCTGCCAACTCCGGGTCCGTAATCAGCGGCTGAATCGGCGGCGCCAACTCCCTAGCCTCAAGCTTCTTCCAGTCAATCTTGCGGAAGAAGCGATGCTTCTTGATTGTCTGGAGATCCTTGGACATGTTGAAGCCGAGGCGCTTCTTGGGGTCTTTGCGCAGGAGCCGAGTGAGGAGATCTTTGGCATCAGCGCTGAGATAGTAGGGGAGCGAGAGCTTCTGCTTTACGATTTTCTCTTGGATCTTGGCGTTGTTGTTGCCCGTAAAAGGGGGTGAGCCAGTAAGTAGGTCGAAACCGAGGGCGCCGAGGGACCACCAATCTACTGCTGCGCCGTACTCGAGGCCTTGGACGACTTCCGGGGCCATGTATTCTACGGTACCGAGGAAAGAGCGGCAAGGGTTGTCTTCATCGAGAGTGACTTTGCTTAGACCGAAATCGGTGAGGAGAAGGTGGCCTTCGGAATCCAAGAGACAGTTCTCGGGCTTCAGATCGCGGTAGATGACGCCGACGGTGCGGTGCAGATGGTCGAGGGCAAGTACCATTTCAGCCATGTAGAAGGCTGCAACGTCCTCGGAGAACATGCGCTCAGCGGCAAGGTGATGGAATAGCTCGCCACCTTGTGCATACTCGAGGATCAGATACAGCTTCTCCTGGTCCTGGAATGCATAATAGAAGTTGACAATGAATGGATAACGGTTCACGCTCTCCAAGACATTGCGCTCCGTCTTGGTCTGCTCGATAAGCTTCTTGTGAACGGTGATGGATGCTTTCTTGAACTGCTTCTGTGCGAACAGACGTCCAGTTTCACGCTGCCTGACAAGCAGCACAGTACCGTAACTACCTTTTCCAAGGCACATCAAAGGCTCAAAGTCCTCAGCAGTCATCTTGCGCGCCATCCCATTGTTGAACATAGTCGATGTCTTAGATAGCGTATCGGCGCTGAAGTCCTCGGCGTTCAGATCAATTTCGTAGCTCTCCATTTCCGTGCGGTCGCTATCACTCTCTCGACCAGACATACTGGTGTTGCTAGACATGTGCGATGCGACTCGGCTCATAGCGACACCTTTGTTGGAAAAGTCCTTCATGGGGGAATCGCTTCTGGAAGCCAAGTTCAAGGCCTCCAATTGGGCCTTGAGGCTGCTGATGCCTCCCATGGTAGACTGTGGTCGCAGCGCGGGACTGCTAGTGACGCTAGGGAGTCCAGAGCGGACGGGCCCGAACCGCGGGGTGCTGGTAATGGAATAGTCCGACTCTTCTCCACCCGATGTGACGGGCGTGTGAAAGCCACGAGTCACGTTGGTAGCCTGCAGACCTGCATTTGGTCCCTTCTTCTTCTTCCTCTTGTTTTTCTGGGCCTTCTTCATAACCGCCTCAAAGTCCAACTTGTCTGGTCCTAGCTGCTTGCCCTCAGGGTTGGGCTGTGCGTTACGCTTTGGCATAGGGCTGACGATATTGATCGGCGGGGTCCCAACATGGAGGGGTACTCTTGAGGAACTCATGTCCATATCCTCCAGGGCAAACATATCATCGTTTCGCATGGCAGGCTCGGAGGTATTCGGGATCTTGCCCGCGAGCTGCGCATCGTCATGATCGAATGCGAAAACCATGATGACGGTAATGAGGGGTAAACCAATTTAGAGATATTTGCGCTCTAGAGTGCACTTAGGTTCTGCACATTTCAGTCAGCTTTGTTCATCTCCTCGGTTGAGTAGGAGATCGCGCACATCCAACTCCGGACTTGGGCTGCCCAAAATCTATACCCGCCGCAGAGATTCACGGCGGAACGCCCACCCCTACTTGTCGGACAAGGGACGCGAAAGAAGCGTCCGTCTTATTTAGACCCGAGCTCAGCGCGCTATATGGAAAGAAGAAGCCAACTACGGTAAGCTGGGCAGTAAGTTGAGAGGCAGTCGCGGCGGGAGAAGCAGAGCCCATAGATGGTCGTGTTGGAATACTGGAAATGGTGAAAGTCGAGGCCAGGTTTGCGATCCTGGCAGGCGTTGTATGGTGGTGGTGTGTCGCGGTGCAGGGGAAAAATCGCGTTTGAAAAAGGTGTTGGAGGAAAGGTCAGCGATCAGCGGGAGAGGCTCAATTGTCCGGATTCTTAATTTGGTGCCTTGGCGGGCTAATTGCGGTGGCATGTGAATGACCTAACACCCGAATGGTCACCCGGCCCCGGATTCACATCTCCACATATGCGTGGAGATGCACCTCGTGCAAGGTCTATTGTACCGCGTGTTTCCTGGCGAGGACAAGCCGGTGCACTTGGCTACGCGACCATGGACGTGGCAAGGACGCAACGAAACCAAGACGCAGCCGTGAGGCCGTTGGTGAATCTCAGCTCAGCGCATTGAAACAACCCCCAGAAAGAGATAGCGCCCTCCTTTCAGCGCCCTTCTCCGCAAGCGACGTGTTGAGATTTGATTGCAAACACAGTCAGTTGGCCAGCCACCGTGGCTGTAGCGGCGTGACGGCGTGGCCGTAACGTAAGGGGGGGCGGCTCCAAACAGGAGGCTCCCTGTTTGTTCCAACCAGCATGACAGAATCAAGGCGCGACATATGACGCATTCGTTTCCACAAGAAACAACTTCAGCTTTGCACTGCACGCCCATGGACAGTCTTCATCTTCTCCAAGTTGCGATGCCATATTCCCATTCTTACGAAAATGTATAGTACAACTCCATCACCCGAGGTAAAGTGGGTATTACTGCTGGAGTTGCGGCCCGCCGAAAGACGACCTTCCTTACGCGCTTAGCTGCCTTATTTACACGGGAGTGTATACTGCGCGTACCGCGGTATATAAACACAAGTAAGATTAATTTCTCCATCGAAGCCTTCCTAGCTCAGTGGTAGAGCGCGTCACTAGTAATGACGAGGTCGTCAGTTCAATTCTGGCGGAAGGCATCTGATACTCCTTTTTTGCCAGTGCAGCAGCTATTGGACCCACATTTTTCGCGTACAACTGTTACGAATGAGCATCTGCGGCTTACCTCTCCGATGGCATTGAGTCTCGATAATCGGGTTGTTCTTTTTGTTCATACATTCGCATTTGATATGGATGTTTACGGATCTCAAGTAGACATGCGTACAAGTGTTTGGCTATGGCTTATTGCTGATGCTGAGGTCGTTTTTTTTCATATATCAGAGTTTGGGCCATACGCGTTTGAGGACTAACTCGAAAACATATGGTTCGAGTATAACAGTTACACGGTACTCTTTACAGATTGGCATACCTATGCAGTATAAAAAAAGATATTCTCGAATGAAGTGTGGCAATATGGGAGCGTGATAGATGGTACACAAATGTTCAGAACACTTAGAGTACAGTCGTATTTTGTACTGTTACTGGGTTGTAACAAGTACATATATTAGCAAGAGCAAATCCGTATACCCGTGCAAGCAGCAGTACATCAGCGCTCCTGGGACGTGCTTGAGAGGTAAGTGTGGTCGGGTGACATGTCTACACAAGCTCATATAAGGTATCTCGAAACAAGAGGTCATCACAGTGAAATGATCCTCTTGATAGTAATGTTTTCACTGCCGTTAGAACAAAGACCTACCTTGTGCTGGAACAGTGGAATTAGGTACGCTTAGAAATATTGAAAGAGGATGAAAAACACTACAGTGTTGGTACTCCAACATCTCATCTGTACCATTGTCAGTTCCAAGATACTCGACCATGTGCCAACTAAAGGGCAATGTAAGCGGATCGAATCCAGCACTTGTCCGTCTACATTGGCTCCGGGCCACACAATATGTCATCCCCCATCAACACCCTCCAGCCCAACCCCCTGCATTAGACCGACCCCATCATTTATTACCTAGCTCTACCTCTCACCAACTCGACGCGTAATCCCCACCCAAAAAAGCAAAATGTAGCTCTCGATCCAAAGCAAACCTAAACCCCTTGCTGCTTTCATGCGAATGCGTAATGACGCACCGCTAGCGTCCTCTTACTTTTCTTTTGCCTGATAAGGGTTAACTTGGCTAGTGCGAGGGGAGAAGCGCAATTAAGCGAGTCTGCCCAGTGAATGCTTTTTTGTCGGTATGTTATTGCCGCGGGTGGAAGAAGGAATGAAGCGGTTTCACTAGGCAGAGTGGCTAAGAGTGGCCGAGCAAAAGCTTGTTTCTCCACAACGAGTGAGAAAAGGAATGGTGGTGGGAGTTTGTATCTCGATGGGAGAACAAAAGAAAGATGATTGTATTTGATGCTTCTTCCGCGGTATTATGCAGATGGATGTTGTTTACACTTTTGGTGAGCAAAATGTTAGTGCTGTTCAATCAGCACAGTAACATCTGATATCCGACATGTTCATTGTCAAAGCAAAGTTGAGATACTTGGGGACAGAAATCATAGGGACTGTAGCAGGGCATTTGTTCAAGGAAAAAAGATTGTGGTTAAAAACTAGCTTTTTTACCTCGTGATATCGTTGGACGGAACTTGCATATTGCTCTCAGGCTAATACAGAAAAAGAGCTGCACATCTACTCTCATCTCTTCTCTTCCGAGACAACTTTTTCCCAAGATGCTTTAAAAGAAAACCTCCCTGCTATGACGGTTAAGGAGTTGGCAATTGTCAGCTTAAGTGCACTTTCCAAAGGCACCATTGCAACCAGTGCCGCAGTGATCAGCGGTGCTTCCACACCATCCATACTGCGAACAGCAGTTTCCAAACGTCGAACCGGTGCAAGTGAAGCCCGAGGTTCCAGCACAGGTTCCGTCGGTGGAAGCCTTAGCAGCGGCGGTGGTGGGCTTGGGCGCAGCAGCAGCAGTGCTCAAGGTGGTTGAGCCGGCACTGTTACCGCAGGTACCGAAGCCGGTCTGGCAGCCAGTGCCGCAGTAATCGTTGTTGCTACCGCACCAACCTGCAGAGCTGCAGCACTTACCGAAAGCGGATCCTGTGCAGGTGCTGGGAAAAGTTAGAAAAGTAAAGAATATGTAGGTACGAGAGTTTCTTACAATCCCTTGGTGCCACCGCAGGTAGCATCAGTGGACACCTTCTTGGTTCCAGTGGGAGCAGGGGCAGCAGAGGTAGGCTTTGCGCTGGCAGAAGTAGGCTTTGCGCCTCCAGAAGTGGAACCGCCGGTGCTAGCGCCACCAGCCTTGCGGTACCAGTTCTCGACAGGGTCGCCAAGGCATTCACCGACAGTAACGGCTTTGTAGCCGAGCTGGGTAAGAGTGGAGAGCATATATTCGGTCAAGTTCATGGCAGTCTGCTCGTGGATGTCGTGGCCAATCTCGAGCCACTGGCTGCTGGCGGGCCTACCAGAGGAAACGTTGCCCTTGAAAACGTCCTTGGAGTACTGAATCAGAGTAGGGTCATCGTGCTCATAGTCATCCTGGAGAAGTCAGTTGTTATTTCCAAATAGCATCATAAAGTGTGCGTACAGTGTCCACGTCGAAGTAGGTGACGTGGTAGCCAAGGTCAGCCATGTCTTTCTCGCAGCCAGACTCGGCAGTGCAGCTGGAGTAGGGAGGACGCATGTAAGTGGGGATTTTGCCAACAATGTTGCGCAGAGCCATCTCGTTCTTAATCATCTGATCGTGGCGATCCTGCGAGGAGATGGCGCTCAGATCCAAATGAGTCCAGGTGTGCGAAGCGAGCTGGTGGCCTTCAGCGTCCATACGCTTGATGACTTGGGTGAATTCAGGGGTGATATCAATTTGGCCCTTGCCGATGTTGTTACCAGTAATGAAAAAGGTAGCTTTGGCGTTGTAGGAAGCCATGACATCAAGAATGTGACTAGTGAAAACCTTCTGCGGGCCGTCATCGTAGGTGAGAGCAACGGTTCCTGGTTTGGTGCAGCTGTAGATACCGTTGCCACCAAACTCGACGTTTCCAGACTTAGTACGGGCAATCGAGGCGGTGCTGGTGCCGGCTGGTGTCACGTTCTCTGGGCAAGCTGGGCCATGCTTGTAGTCACAGCCGGGAGAGAAGCAGTAGTCGCTATCATTTCCGCAGTCTGGAATTCGTTAATGAAAAGTTTTGATATGTAACATGAACAAAACATACAGCCGGCTTGTGAGCAGCATTGGCCAGCAGGGCAGTTGCCAATGCCAGCTCCACACTGGCGGTCGTCCTGGCGGCGGCCAATTTGTGTCTTGACCTTGTTCTTGGCATTGGCGATCTCGTTGACGCCAGTGAATCGTGCTCCGATACCAGAAAGCAAGTCGCGAGCCTTGATGTCCTTTGGATCTAACCCGACAATGTTAGGGAGGCCGGTTCCATGGCCACTAACGATGGGGGCAACGGCTACAACGGCCGCAAGAGCAGCAGAGTAGTGCATGTTGGAAGAATGCGACCGGTCTTGATTATGGAATTAAAAGTAATAATCAAATTGGAATTGTAAACAGGCGAGAGCGAGCGGAAGGTGGTGGTCGACAACGACAACACACTGAGAGACCTGTAGATGGAAAACGAAGGTGGACCACAATAAGTGTGGTAAGAATTAGGTATCCGGTAGAAGGTATCCGGAGGTAAGCATTTCAAGGTGCAGACACCGTTAGTTTATGAATGGCAGATGATCGACGACTTGGGCCGATGTGTGGTGCCAATGCCAATATCGACTCGCGCTGAGACTAGTGTCTCCACCTAATGCTTGTCTAGATGCATGTGAGGGCGGAAAAAGTACACGTCCGTACTACCGACCCCTGGTTTGCAGGCATGAAATCCGCGCTACCGGCTTCGCTCAGGGAGGGAATTCCATGGGTTGCGGGTCAAACGGGCTGGATGGCCATGCAGGAACGAGAATGCTATCACAATGGCGAGTAAAAAATAGACTATAGTGTATTGACCTGTTTGGTTTGAAACGCAGTCTAGCGGGTATGATATTACGAAGAGAGCTCATCTTGCACTTTTCTGCCGCTCAGAAGTTTAATCACCGCCATGGCCTCGAAACGATGAGTGATTCACACCTTGGCGTTCTCCACTGCTCGTCTTGATGTTCAGGACGTGGCCGACGTTGTCCCTCCGCGGGTCTTTTACAGAGGGCAATAATGGTCTTTCGCGAGTTCCAGGGGCGGCATGATTGTCTTAGTCCATTATAGGTTGTCGTACCAGGCCAAATGCAAGGGAGAAGGTGACGTCTTCCCCTTCCGTAGCTTGTGGTGCGGCACCCAACAACGCCATCAAAGCATCGACCTCTTGCGGGCACATTGGCAACAGTCGCCGAGGCTATCCAAGCGGCCGCTACGGGGCTTGGAGCAGAGCTTGTCAGAGGTTAAGAGATTCGCTTGGCAAAACAAGTCAGGCTGCACGCCATGTCGGTTTGGGCAGCCAAGAATTGAATACGATGGCATAAACAGTGGCCCGCATTCAGGCACCGCATACTGTGCAGCTTGGTGTCGTTGGAGCCCCTGGGGCCAGGTGGTGGCAGGCGAGAAGAGAGATTACAGAGTGCCGAAACATGCGAGAACGATGAACGGCCCCGTATCATGCCGTATTGGGTGCCGTCGCTTCCCGACGATATCGCTTGAGCCAATCACCCGTATTGCCAAGCCATACTCATCTTATGTAGATCGCACTCTGGCAGGCCTGCCCCCAGCATACAACTTGGCTCATTCAAGTCTGTTGCCCATCTGCACCCTTCCAAAGATGGGAGCCTTTTACGGACACGAGACCCCTCAATATTTACTGGGAAGGGTGGTGGAGTAAGGTTGTATTGGCTCCATGCGGCTTTGCAGCCAAATACCGTTATGTCTGATTCATGGCAGTCCCTTTAAAACGTCTCCCTCCGAAATCTGGTGCAAGCATCCGAGACCCGGCCTTCGGGAATGTCGCCAGAAATAAAAGGCCGAGCCTATTTTCAGTGCCATGCTTTTCCCCTGCGAGACAAGCTTTTAGCCCAATGACTGGGATTTTCAGCCCTAGGCCAGCAGCTTGACTCGGACACTTAAAAGACGCCACAGTTGAAACCTGTGACAGCCTCGTTCTGGTACCAGCGCGATCCACTACTTAGCGGTTCTCGAGTTTTTTTACTATAGGGCTTGATGGTGGGGAACATTGTTTGCGGCCAGCAATGCGACTGGCAGAGCCACCAAAATAGGCATGGAGACCCCTCCCGAAGCCGCGCCAGCTAGGACTAGGATGCTGATTGGCCTTTGTCTGCCTCGCAGCCTGTACAATACTAGACATCTGTTCCGGACCGTCGCGCAGCACGATAACAGTAACGACTCGAGAAGCACAGCGAGCGCTGCCCTTATGAGCAATAACTCGCCTCCTTTTTTCCTTTTCGCTTCAATCTCGGCCATGAAAATTAACATGTCGCTCATTCGTATTTACACAGAGCGAAGTAGGATTACCGTGGGTCTTGCTTACGCTGCTAAGAAGTACCAAGTCCCTTCTCGCCGCTATTACACCGCTAAATTCTGCCCTCAGACACCGTGAGTCTGGTAGTATCTATACCCACGGCTAAAGCAGCGACTGCGGTGGTAGAGACATGCTGTATAGTGAGAGACGTGTTCCCTTTTCTCTTGCCCATTAAAATTACATGCATGCTAATATGCAGTACTACTGTACGGTGGTACAGCGCAGTAGAGGCGAATATTACCGCCTTAGCATGCCATTCTACAGTTCTTGTGCGAAAGACATAACTTGTTGTAAAATCGGAATATTGCCGCTGATCGCCATTTCATCATCGTTACCTGAAGGCTGCGATGTTATCACTGTGAGACATAACTACGCATGCCTTTTTTTCTCAACCATTTTCTATTCCGTTACGTGATACCGAGCCTGCAAACCATGTCTCCACCGTGTCGTCTTACACTACGAAACATCCATGTGGTAACCACAGAATAGTGTTTAGTTTGATAATTCCCGTGCTACTCCAAATCCGTCGAATGTATGATTCCAAGACTTACACAGTAATGGTTGGATATGACACACTTACAATCATGCCGGGTTGGCCGGACCGCCACCCTTGGTCCTCCGTCAGCGGCTCGATTCAATCGCGATCCGCTGCGAAGCTACACTTGACGTGTACTTTGAGTTTTCCAATCTATGATTACAGTTCAAAATGCGGGATCTGCGGGGTATGCGTTGAGCTATGTTCACTCCCAATCTTGACGTTCATTCAAGAGGACATTGTGTTCAGGTTAGGCACAGACTACTAGCGCGTAACAATGACAGCTTCTTCCCCGTGCGCTCTTCCACAACACAGATGAAAGATGATCTATTGCCTCGCTATGAAGGAGGAAAAGCCAAGATGAAATCGAATAGATAGATGATATTTCTCGCACTGTTCGTTCTCACTATGGAAGATCGGGTACGTATTTTTATTTCAACATATCTCAGACTTATCCACAGAGTCTTGCGTAACGGTGGTTGAAACCATGATACTACTACCGTGCTTGACTCTCAATTCCTCCTGACTGTTTTGGGCACACAACCAGTGTAAGTCTATAGTGTTCAGCCCGACCGCCTTTGTTATATCGCGCGTCGCTCTACTTCCAATGGTTCCTAATTCTATTCTGCTACCGTGTTTCTGATTTGTATTGCTATCTGCTTGTCTCCGGTAGCCATGGGAGTCATAGGAGGTCTTGGTACGGGCTGAATTTGTTAAGACTGCGAATGCAGGACAACACCCGATGATGACGGCTGTGGTGACATAAGCGTTGGAACGCATGTAAATGGGAACCCAACTTACCGATTGAACATTCCACCATGCCCCAAATAGCAAGCCATGTGGGATCAAGTGGTGCGCCCACTGCCTCAGGCTTGGATGCGTTCACAGCTACCTGAGTGACACGCAGACAGGCGAATAGTATGCAGACAAACCCTGTTCCGAACAGACATAGCATTGATATCTTTTTCCTACGCGGCATCTGAAGGCTCCACGTGAGCCATATGGGAAGAGCCATGACTGTGACAGTCGCGAGTTAGCAATTCATGCCACATCCAAGTATCGTAGGAATACGTACTCATCAAATTCGTAGATGTATCTGCAACAAAGGAAAAATACAAGCTGAAGAGTTGAGCACTATGTCGAGCTTTCCCTCCCTGTAGCAAGAAAGCATTAGTCGTCATTCTCAAGATGGACAGCGGATAGACTCACACAACCTCCCGTCCAAAAACCAGACGGAGTGCCACATGATTTGAAGTAAAAGTGGTAGTTTCCAAAGAAGGTCTATAACCAAAGTGAGTTGACAGCTAACACAACGTTCTGGTAATTACTTACAAGTACACAAATCCCAACGATGCCCCACCACACAACAGTATAACACCTGGATAACCCGACCAACAATCTCCGATAAAGTAGCAACAGCGAGCACTTGATCGCCCACAACACCCCCCAAAACAAGTTGAAAGCAGCAAACACCATCTTCGTCATAACAACCGCATCGTGCGCTAGCTCCGGGTAGGGTGCAGTCTCTCCATTCACAACAGCATACACTCTCTGCATATACGGCGATACAGCAATATACAGCGCGCACTTTGCAACATAGAAAGCGAAGCCGGCAAAGACAAAGTAGTCAGACGCCGTCAGCCGTTTTGGCTTAGCGATATTGACACATATCCTGGCGAGGACGACAGAGCTTGTGAGACTGAGCATTGAGTATGCAACTTTGAGCACTGTGCCCTGAGCAAAACCGTTGGTGAGCGTCGACATGTTTTGGCTGGATTTGACTGAAACGAGACGATTACGACGAAAGAAAAAAAGTTCAGAAACGGAGGGAGGGGAGGGAAGAGCATAGCAAGGTAATAGCCAGGCAAAACACTGGCGGTAGTTGTACTTTCCAGCATGTTCGGCTTATCCAGATAATGGGGTGCGTACTATCACTTGCCTTTGCGGCGTAGGCGTAAATCGTCACAGTTGTCGAGACCTAGTCGGTCGATGTTGCGAAGGGGGGACGGGCGCTCAATTTGCTGTGCCGAGCGTATGACTGCGGGCCCCCCAACAGCGGATATCGTCATGTTAAGAAGATTTGCAGGGAAGATCGATGTTTGGTACCCTGAAGTTGCCCTTGTGAAACGTGTGATTTGAGATCAGTGGTTGCCTTGGGAGATCCTACACAGTAGGTCGTGTATACTTTAATGGCATGTTGGAAAGACCTCTCGCTTCAGCTAGCACATGGAGATCGAAACTCTTTGATGCTTTTTAGCTGATACAGATGAAGATTCACGAGATTGTGCAAAGCAATGGGGTTTCTGGTGGTAGGTTGCTTCTCGAAAAACTCGTTGTGCTGATTGCTGTTGCTCCTCGGTACCATCTTCATCAAGGAAGAATTTGCCGCATCTTGGCGATACGAACTTCCCGCACGAAGATAGAGCGGGCTTGGGGCTCAAATAGAGCAATCCCTTCACGGAGAATCTTGAAAAGATGAGGCGTCTGGGCCCAAGCGGCACATGCATGTTGGCGGCACGGATTTAGCGTCCGCTTCGCGTGCGCCCAACGGCCAACCTCTTCCCTCGACATTGGCTGGAAAGCTCTGCCGACTATGATATTGGTTAGGGCTCATACAGGGCATAGAGTGCCCTCTTCCGACGGCGTAGGTCTTAGACAAAACGGGAATTACGAGGCGTAAATACGTAGTCGATGATCCCTAATATCCTGCGAGCCAGCTTGTATTTGGCATACTGGTGGGTTGCTGCTGTTCCTTCACATTAAGGGCTTCACCAGATGCAAAAGTGGACTTTCGGCTCGAGTCAACACGCAATCTGAGAGTAAAGACTGCGCATCCCTGCATCTAGATCCTACTGAGCTTAACCCCGAAATCCTAATGCACCCGTCAGTTTTCTATCATGCCACTACATCTCGCAGCCAAGGCGGCACAGTATGTGGCACAGCAGCGAGTAAAGAATTCTCGGCTGCCCATGAGTGGTGGATTGAGAACAGTCACTGCAACGCTTTGATTGTGCGCGTACAGAGTAACTAGGGTATGTCTTCCCAACCAAGGACGATGTTGTGGTGGCGAGATTTGAAACCATTTCATCGACCGACGATGTATACTATCGACTCGTACCTAGTAAAAAGAATGATGACGTCCTAAAGAGAGACAGATTTTCCTTACAGCTATTGCTTAAGAATAGCTTAATGAGTCGCCACTCCGGGTTAGCATCATCCTCGGTTGGGAAAATATATCCTTGTTACCCTGTACACTATCTAGCCCTTGCACATGTAGCCTGTGGTCAGTTGAATTGCACCCTGCAGCTAGATGCGATCCTTCGCCTGATTTCCAGACATTAAATGCAGAGCGAAATGTCAGTTTCTTAACGCAGCTGCGCTCCGGGACATTCATCAATTCTTATAAGTGACCACTGAGTGCCATAACTGTCACTTGAGGCACATCCCCTGCTTTGGACGCATTCTCTTTACCAAGCTAATTGCAAGACACAGCGCCGCACGCTATGAAAGCCTCTTTGGTTGCCTCGTTTGGGGCTCTTTCTGTCATTGCTTCTGCACAAGACGTTTTTGAGTCCCCGGACTTCAACATTGTAGAGGCTCTGGCTACCAACGGTGTCAATGTCTCCGCTATTCCTGCCCTGGCTGCGTTGAGTGAAAAGCGTGCTATCTCAACCGGATGTATGGCGGCTGTAAGTCATATTGTTATCTATCAAGGGCATCTCTGATTCTTAACAAAGTGCGGTGCTCTCAAAACTATCTTTGGAAATGAGCTTCTCATTAGCGGATCACCCGCGTACGATGCATTCACCAGTAGATACTGGTCTACACAAGCATCTTTGGTGGACCCAGCCTGTGTGTTGAAGCCGTCGACTGCGCAAGATGTATCAATATTGGTACTCATGTCTCGTCTTACTCAGTGTCCCTTTGCTGTAAAGGGTGGTGGACATACTGCCTTCCCTGGCGCATCTAGCATTCAAGATGGCATCACGGTAAACATGGAGGACATGAACGAAATCACACTCTCCAGCGACCAAAAAACCGCATTTATAGGGCCAGGAAATCGATGGGGGCCGGTATATGAAAAACTTGGTCAACACAGCCTTGCTGTCATGGGTGGCCGCGCATCAGAGGTAGGCCTTGGCCTTGTTCTCGGCGGGGGTATCAGTCACCAATCCAGTATCTATGGATATGCTTGCGACAACGTTGCTTCCTTTGAAGTCGTCACTGCGACAGGCGCTATCGTCACTGTCACCCCGACCATCTACCCAGATCTCTACTGGGCACTTCGTGGAGGTGGGAACAATTTCGGTATTGTCACCCGATTTGAGATGGAGACGATTCCCCAGGGCTTGATGTGGGGCGGAACCCGAGTTCACACGGAAGCTACTTACCCGCTTCTTATCGATGCCTTTGCTTCGATGGCAGAAGACGCCAACAAAGACCCCAAATCTGGCCAGATTCTCTCATTTGCTCTGGCAGCTGGCCAAGCGGGCGCACAAATCCAACTAGAGTACCTCGAGCCTGTAAACGAGCTCAATCCCCCACCTATCCTCGAGAAGTACCTCAATATTACTTCGATAAATACCGTCACCATGAACAGAACTTTGGCAAATGACACCTCCCTGATTACCGATCAGATGCCCAACGGTCACCGCTACGCATTCTGGGCTTCTACCTTCAAACTGGATCGAAAACTCATGAACTGGCTCCAAGAACGCCATCGAAAGGACTTCACCACCATGCCCAACAAGGGCTCGCTGACATTTCAAGCCTTCACTGTGCCCGCCATGCAAAAGATGAGCAAGAAAGGCGGCAACGCGCTCGGCCTCTCTCCTACCGACGGACCATTAATGCACAGCCTCCTCTACCTGGTATGGGAGGACGCTTCTCAAGACATCAAGATCCAAAGAGCCGCTCAGAATTTCATGAGTGCAGCAAAGGCAGAAGCAAAGAGACGGGGCAAGTATCACGACTTCATTTACCTGAACTATGCTGGGCCGCACCAAAATGTTATCCCAAGTTATGGCAAGGAGAAGCTGGCTAAGCTCAAGGCTGTCTCTAAGAAGTACGATCCTGCTGGTGTGTTCCAGAAGCTGCAGCCTGGTGGGTTTAAGCTTGAGGGGGCGCCATATGGGGAGAGGATCTGATCTGAAAGAGGCCAATTTCGTGTAGTATTTATTGATGAAGTAGAACAAGAATTTATCCATGTGTCCTTTGTACTCGTAGTCGCGTACAGAGGAGGACATGGCGCTACGCCACTCCCTAGTCTAAATGCAGCAAGGTTCCTCATGTCCGACCAGTGAGCGTGTTGTTGTTCTGCCCCCACACCTTTCTTCCCAACTGCAGCAACATCTGCTGCACACTAACGGCCCACCTCATCATGTGAGCAGCCAGGGATTATGCACGTCGTCAGGCTAAGCAGCTTCTTAGCTGCGGCGCCAACAATTCACCTCTACCATCCTTGATGTACTACAGTTATTCTTGTCTCTACCACTATTATGACAACACATGGCACGCCAGCTGCGACCCGAAGACTACACAGTAGGATGGGTGTGTGCGCTGCCTGTCGAGATGGCGGCGGCACAGGAGATGCTTGACGAGGAGCATGCTGGTCTGGGACACAACCTACTAGCTGATAATGACAAGAATCTGTATTCACTAGGTTCCATCGGTGGTCACAACGTCGCCATTGTGTGTCTGCCTGCCGGCCGGATCGGCAATAATCCAGCAGCCGTAGCGGCAACTCGAATGCAAGCAACGTTCAAAAATATTCAATTTAGATTGATGGTCGGCATTGGTGGCGGTGTCCCGAGTTCTGAAGCAGACGTCCGCTTAGGTGACGTTGTTGTCAGTCAGCCCCACGGGAATCTCGCCGGTGTGGTACAGTATGATATGGGGAAAACAACACCAGGCGGCTTTGAACGAACCGGATCGATTGATGCACCGCCCGAGGTACTGTTGGCAGCTGTCGCGTGGGTAAAGGCTAACAACCTGCGTGGTAAAAGCAAGCTCACTGAGTACATCTCTAAGCTGGAGGGTATCCCCAAGTTTCAACGCAGCAACGCAGGGGCTGATGTGCTTTTTGAAGCAACATACGACCATGTTGCGGGGCAGACGTGCGACAGGTGCAGCCCTGACAGACAGGAGGCCCGACAGGCACGCCCCATCGGGGAGGAAGTAGTGGTGCACTACGGCAGTATTGCGTCCGGCAACCAAGTAATACGGAGTGCTGCTGAACGAGACAAAGTTAGCGTTGGGCTCGGCAAAGTACTGTGTTTTGAGATGGAAGCAGCAGGGCTAATGAATAGCTTTCCGTGTCTCGTTATACGCGGTGTCTGCGACTATGCAGACTCACACAAAAACAAGTTGTGGCAACCGTACGCAGCGGGAACTGCGGCCGCATATGCGAAGGAAATTTTGTTGGCGATACCACCAGCAGAGCCGTCCAAGTTGCATACGGTAGAAGGAGCAATGAGAGAGGCGAGTGGTAAGTACTGCTGCAGCCGTCCTATATTGCGACTTGTAATAGCGCACTGATGCAGCAACAGGAAACGTACCCAAACCTAACTACCACATACCCTTTCTTATGAACCAACACTTTGTTGGACGTAGAAAAGAGCTTCACATCTTGCAGCAAAGGCTAATGGTGGGCCAGGACTGCCAGGCGCTATCCATTGTGGGGCTTGGTGGGACAGGAAAGACACAGTTGGTGTTACAATTTGCATACAGCGTAAAAGATAAATGGCCAGAGTATTCGATCTTCTGGGTGCCTGTGCTAAGCATGGAGAGCTTTGAGCAGGCATGTGTAAGCATTGCAAAGGTTCTGGGTATACTACAGGGGGCAGATGACAAGGAAGACATTAAAGAGCTGGTGAAGCAAAGATTGAGCTCGAGTCGAGCAGGGCGGTGGCTGATGGTGGTGGATAACGCTGACGACCCTAGCATCTTGTTTGGAACAACAGAGTCACAGGGGATTTTTGACTATCTACCAAAGAGCGAGAGCGGTATAATACTGTACACAACACGCACGATGGAAGTAGCAGTGTCATTAACACCGTACGATGTGCTAGAGCTGGAGGCCATGGATCGTCAGGACGCGATCGATTTTTTCTCGAAGTCGCTAATCAGGAAAGAGCTTCTCCGTGACCACACCGCGAGAGACCAGCTACTAGAAGAACTAACACGTCTACCACTGGCTATCGCACAGGCGGCTGCGTACCTGAATATGAATCGGATGACAATCGCGAAATATCTTCGACTACTGCATAATACCGAACAAGACCTTATCGGTCTACTAAGCAGAGAGTTTCGCGACAACACACGATACAAAGGCTCAGCGAACGCAGTGGCGACTACGTGGGTGGTGTCTTTCAGCCAGCTACGCGAGCACGATATATTTGCGGCAGATTTGCTGGAGTTTATATCCTGTATAGAGTGGAAAGCCGTACCGCGGTCTTTGCTGCCAAACACAAATTCGGAAGAGGAGATGGAAAAGGCCATTGGCACGCTGTGCGGATACTCCTTTCTAGTAAGACGCGATGGCGGCACTCAAGAAACGCAAGAAGAGAGTGAAAAACATACAGAGCCGGATAAGGAAGAGTGGTACGATATCCACCGACTTGTGCACTTAGCAACACGGATCTGGGTCAAGAAGAATGGCGATGCAAGTAAGGTAGTAGAGGATGCAATCCGACATGTTGCCGACGTCTTCCCATTCGCATGTTACGGGAACCAGACCGTTTGGAGAGCGTATTTGCCGCACGCGCTCCGGTTGCTTAACAGTGGGCAGCACTGCAGCACGGATGACCTTTCTGAGCTGTGTCTGCGATTTGGGATCTGTCTGCGAGAAGAAGGCAGGTTCCAGGAGGCATTGGTATGGCTGGAAAAGTCATATCAGGATAGAGATCGCCTTAGTGAGGACGATCCAGACCGCCTATGTTCACAGTATCATCTCGCGGTAGCATACACATACGATAGACAGACGCGAAATTCGATACCACTGTTGGAGCGCATAGTAAAGATAAGAGAGAAGACCTCATCTTCAGAGGCCCCAAGCCTACTGGAATCGCAGGAATGTCTCGCAGTAGCATACAGTTTCGACGGACAGGGGCATAAGGCGATAGCTCTTCTGGAAGATGTTATTGAAGTAGTGGAGAAGACGCTAGAGCCAGAGAACGATGAACTACTATCGTTGCAACACACGCTCGCAATAGCATACAGCAGTGATAACCAGATCCACAAGGTGTTGCCACTTGTAGAAAAAATTGTGAAATATAGGGAAAGGACGCTGCCGCCAGAGCATCCAGAGCGACTGGACTCGCAGCACACCCTCGCAGAATCATATTACTTGGACGGACAGATGCAAAGAGCAGTGTCGTTGCTGGAACATATCATGAACATGAAGGATAAGACGCTAGAGCCAGAGCATCCGGATCGAATGATGTCGCAGCACATGCTTGCGCTAGCATACTATGCGCTTGGACAGGTGGACAGGGCAGTGGAACTGATGAAGAGTGTTGTCGCTATTGAAGCTCGCACGCTACGAGATGGTCATCCTTCGCGGCAGGCGTCAGTTGAGGTGTTGGCTGATATGCTTGCAGATCTGGATGCGAACGAGGATGTAGTGTCAGATTAGCTGAAAAGGGCGATAGTGAAGACATTTCCAGTGAGGAGGGCGACTAGCAGTGTTAAAATCAATAGTTTCCAAGCTGGCAACGTCAAGCACTTGAGTTACTTCCTCATCAAGAAGATCGAGTACCGAAACGATACCTTTTACACGTTGTACAACGCAAGAGGACAAAGACATGCATGCCCCCCAAGTCAAACGGAATGACAATCATGTTGTTGTTAATTCTCATTCTCTCACTTAGCATTGCATGAACAGACAAACAAAAAACTCTCGTTGCAAACAAAAGTAATCCAGACTTTGATTGCTATACTGAAATCTAACTCGAGACAACAATGAAAAGATCGTGTATATTCCTTCACATCATACTTCTCTACAAACAAGACAGATCATCATGCCTTCTCCTCAGTAGACTTACTAACGACCGGCTCATCTACTTTCTTGCTGTCAGATTCAGCACTCTTGACGTTGCCTCCGTCTACTGCGTCTGGGCCTGAACCAGGAAAGGCACCAGGGGCGTCAGCGGACCCAGGGGCTTTCTCCGTCACCACGGGATCCTCTAGCTTCAAGGCAGCTGACACCTTGGACGTGAACGATTCAAGAGTACCGGACGCCACAGAGGACACCTGCTCTGACAAGGAAGTATTTTCAGTCTTCGTCTCAGTCTTTGTCTCAGTTGCAGAAGCAGGCTGAGCCTCGTCCTTTGACAAAGTTTTGGCCAGTTGAGGCTTTTCTGATTCTGGCACAGCGCTCTCGTCCGTTGCAGCCTTGGTGGCGACGGGCTCTTCAACCTTTGCAGGAACATCGAGTGATTTCTGTATCTGCACAGCCATCTTGGCAGCTGGAACGTCGAGGCTACCGTCTTCAACAAAGCTCCAGATTGCAGTCACAGGTCCAACACTCAGTTTCTGGGCTGGCACAGCAGTTGTGGCAACCGCATCGCCTGGAGCTGGAGACGAAGCAGGCTTCCTCCTCTGTGGGCCCTTGGCCCGGCTCTTTCGAGCATCTTGCAGCGGTGTAATCTCCTTTTCTTCGACTTCCGGCTCAGGTTCCTTAACTTTAGGAAGGCCTTGTGGCCCTAGACCAATTTTGCTGTTGAGGTCTTTGAGAAAGCCGGCTTGGAGAGCAGCAATTTTGCCTCCAGCTGGACGACCAGTCAGCACTGATCTTGCCTTGTGCGGTGAAGCTTCGTTCTCGCTGGCTTGTGACTCTGCATTTGAACCATTTTCTGAAGGGCCAGTAGATGACTTGGTTGGGCGTGCTGAGGTATGCCCTCTCGGGCGTTCGGGAATGATAGGTACTCTCGTTCCCCCAGCAGGTGACTCCTTCCTGACAGGTCGGGCAGGAATACTAGGCTGAGCGGGGACGAAGGATTTATGATCCTGTGGGGAATCTTCGGCGTACTCGTTCGTTTCCTCTATCTGGGGCGTGCTGACCGTGGTCTCGAGGTGTCCGTGTGACGGCGCGTCTTCCCAGATATCCTGACTTGGGAAACGTTGCTGCATACCGGGGCGGCCTGATGTCTCGTCTCGCACTTTTCCAAGAAGCTTGTTTTCGGCAGCGAATTGCTTCGTATGGTCAGAAAGGAATGACTTTTGATCTTCCTCAGTGATCTGGCGCTTGCGTTGCTCCTCTGTTTCTGGGCTTTCGAATGCTTTGGCAGGACTGACATCTCCTTTGCTGACGGCGGTTTGAGGCTCTTCAGGCTCCTGGGGAGTATCAACGGTAGTCTCGAGCTGCAGACTACCAGGTGTGTCCTCCCAAACATCTTGGCTTGGGAAGTGGTGGCGAGCATAACTAGGACGCTTGACCTCGTCAACCTTTGAGTTAGGCTTCTTGGTCTCTTCATCCTCTGCGAAGAGCGGTTCATATTCTTTATGCGACTCAAGCGGAGTGCTGCTGTGTTCATACTGCGCTGGGCTCGGAATCACGCGTTGCTGTTGCGTGCTCCTGTTCCTACTAGAGCTCCTACTGGAGGTGCGCTGCTTGGTGATGTACTGTGACGTGCCGTCCTCATTGGAAATGTATTCATTGCCGTGGCGCTCGAGCTCAGGTGACACAGCAGGTTGCCTCCACTCAGCATCTGGGTGCTTCTTCAGTTCATCAGAAGCAAGGATAGGTGTACCATATCCGCGCTCGGTAACCCATCCACCCTCAGCATTAGTGTTACCGCCTCGCGGTCCAAGGTCTGCGGTTGGAGGGTCGTAACCTCCACCATGAACCTTACTAGAACGGTGTGTAGGCGGATCAATATGAATGACTTCTCCCTTGTCATTTACCTCCTGGCCGGCCTCGTTACGAAGTGGGGAGTCAGCGTGGCGAGTTTTGTTTAAAGAAGTCACGCCAGAAGACTGCGGTCTAGGAGAAGCCATCCTTGAGGCATATTCCTCGGTGGCCCTGTAACCAATCTGCTCATCGGGAGTTCCAACGACATCCCGGCTAGTGCCTGCACAACAAGTTTAATACCAAATGCATATTCGTCTCATAGGATCAAGTAACGTACCCACTCCAACGTCTTGCGACCTTGTGTGCACAAGTTTTTCCAGGTTGTCCGCGCCCCAGTGGTAATCTTTTCTGTTTTCCTGAATGTGAGGGCCATACTCGCCCGCTTTCTCACGCTTCAAATCGTCGGGGTGTTTTTCGTACCACTTTTGCTCGAATTCGTCTGTCGATATCTTGCCATGGCCGTGCATGCCATAGCTGCCAGGAGGTCCGTGGAAGATCTCGCGGCCGCTCTTTGTGCGCCCATGATGACGACCACTGGGTTTCTGGTGGAAACCAACTCCTTGAGATCCAGGCTGTTGCGCAAATGGCGCCGGGCTTGGAGCCTGCACATCTCCGGCATTGCGAAACATGGGCACTTGTACGCCAATCTCCGGAATACCATGCTCATCCTGATCGTTGTAGATTGAGCTAGGGCGTGAACCAGCTGACGAGCCAGAACGGCCAGACTTGGCTTGCGAAACCTTGTCATCAACTGACAGTTGCGAGCCAAAGCCAGCGGCTGCTGCTGTTTGCGAATCGGTCCGCGTCACAGCCTGAATCCGTGTTTTTGCGGTAGAGCTCGGAACTGAGGCAGTCGGAGCATGCAAGGGCAAGTCGCCTGCGACATTCTTGGTATGCTGTGGAGAGCCACCCTGGTTGTCTTCATTGAGAGTCTTGGACAAGTCCTCGAAACTGGCGTATTCAGTGCCTTCCTCTCCGAGTGAGGGCATAGAGACACTGGGCGGGCGAGAGGGCAGCTCGGTGCTGAGGCGATGGCTATCTTTTGGTGGACCGCCGGGTACATAGGTGGGATCGTTGAGCGGGGAGGGGGCGTATCTGTCCCCGCTTGGAGAGACGGAGCGGTCCATACCGCGGTTCGGACGAGGGGGGATCTTGGGAACTTCCATATGGCTTCCCGGCGCCGGCGAACGGCTATCCTGGGAGCGCGATGGGCGTGGAGGTATTGTTGGTTGAGCGGTCATTGTGTGCTTAGCCGTTGCTCGATGGCTATGTGGGGTAGAGATGTTGGGTAGGCTGCGGGGGGTCTTGGAAGGCTGAGAGAAAATCAATGTCAGCGACAGGTAAGACACGGACTGGTTGTTTGATACGTAGATCGTCAGACAGACAGCCGCATTGACGACAGTGAAGAAACAGATAAATGTAGAGAAGTGGTCAGCCAGCTCCACCAAGCTGTAGCCAGCCAATGAGGGGCAGTGCAAATGAGAGCCCGAATGCTGCGGGACAGGGCGAGGTTTTATAGTGCAAACTCACCACACAACACGCAATTAGGCCCGACACTCAAAGTGAGGCTAAAGAGGAAAATTGGATGGTTCGGTATGGTGTTGCCAAATGGCGCAGAGTGGATTGGCGTGGTGAAGCTGGGGTGGTGGACTTAAGTAGCAGACAGCTCTGTGACCCGCATTTGCATCATGCCTGGATATGGTGCATGGGGCCCTGGCGTCTGGCGTCTGGTGTCTGGCACGCGGCAACCATCATCAGCGCCCGCGGTATGCATGCGTATTTGGTGACTTGGCTTTGTTTGCTCTGCCGTATGCTTCCTGGTAATTGCATTGAGTTGACCAAAAAAAGAAGAAGAAGAAGAACATGTCATTTCCCCAAACGCTGTCTATCCATTCATCGTGTCTATCGCGTTGGACATGCACATCAGAGATGCCCAGCCACTATGCCGCATCGAGGACTATGCGACTTCAACAACAACTACGTGGAGGCTTTCGAGCCTGGCAAACTTGGGCTATCCACAATTATCTCGTTAGCCTTGTGAAGTGTCCGGTCAAGCCAGCGCGACCGGACTATGCAGGACGAGGACGTTTCTTATCAACTGCGCGCCATACTGCAGACTCTTCAATGATGTGTGCGACTCCCGGCACGAAAAAGCCGCTAGTGTTCCCCGCGCCGAGAAAGTGTGGTTCCTGGCAAATCCCTAGCAGCCACTCATCGGCATGCACAAAGGCGAGCAGAGTCTAGGTCTAGGTCAACAACAGTAATCTTTCTTTGCTTTTGAGCCCAGCGCATCCCTGCATATGTGATCTATCCTGTGTTGTCCGTGAGAGAACATGGCCTGCTTACATGTCATGAAAAGATTGAACAGCGTTACCACCCCCAGAATGGAAATGGGAATGCAAGCTTCTAGAACTTTGTAGGCCTTCCAGTAGGCCCTGCACCGTCTCCACATGTACAGTTACGTATGTTCCCCCGCCTTGGGCTAACTAGTAGTACTTTATGACCAATATTCGACTGTCAAAGGTATACCACAGAAGTGAAAATATAATATCGCATTCTCGTGCCTCTAAGTTTGGCCACACGCCTTCGGCTTCAGGCAATCCCTGTGGTAGATATCTCCCAATAACGCCTGGCTTTTCGCCCGTGATACAAATAGATTCAATCGTGGCCCGACACCAGGACGCGGCTGTTATGACAGTATCCAATTCGCACTCGGTCCCTGTGTGTATTTCAAAACAGGCTGTACATTCGCAATCGTTGCCCACATCGACCCCATTCTCATCCAATCTCTCACCGTGTTCCCGCCATGTGAGCCTCCTCTTTAGATGATCATCTGTGCAACGCCCTGCCCACCAAGCGTCTTGCTGCCCTGGAACTGCTGGCCCTTGATGCCGGCAAGCGCATAGAAGACTGCAGCAAGCATCAGGAAGATGGCCGCGACAATCAAGCTCGTAGCCATGGGCCAGATGCTGATCCATTGTATAACGCTCATTACACCATAGATGGCAGCGCGCATATAGTTGGAACTGAATTTGCGGATGAATTCGTCGAATTTCGACGAGGTTGGGCAGATGCGAAGAAGGAGCGGTATTTCAATAAATATGATGATGAAGGAGCACACCCTGCGACGTTAATTAGATCGTTATACCCAGTGCGACACAAGGGGTAGGAACTGTACAAGCATACGATGCTGAACGCAATGACAAAGTTGGCGTGAAAGATGTTGGCAATGCCCAGCGCAAAGCATAGGAATATACACAGCACTCCGGTCCTAAATGTGGAGTTAGCGGGCATGGTCGGAGGGCAATGGAGGTGTGTGGCATAGTAGTCATGATGGTGCTGGAGTCTACCACACCGTGCAGTGGTGTGATGGTCTTCCAACACCGCTCATGCTTGGCGATTCCCCCTGGCGGTATCTTGGTGATATCCGTGGGAAGCCTGGGTGGCGTGTGGAAGGGTGGTGAGGGGACGCGACTGACCATTGTCCGTAGATACCTTCAAAGATGCCATGTCAGCAACAATGCAACAGCGGCAGCGGCAGTAGCAGCAGAGGATATCTTACTGAAATTTCGCGACTTGAACTCTTCTGCGAGCGTCATGTTTACTTTGGAATTAGAAACTCGTAGGAGTTCAGCTACAAGTATAGGGCAATGTCGAGTGCAGTCTGGGTCGGTTTGCTGACGGCGCAAGCTGTGTGGACGGAGCTACTGTAAGACGGATTGGACGAGCGTCGGTGTGGGTTTTGTACAAAGTGGGCTGGGTCGCTGGTGTGGGTTGCGAGTGCGTAATGTAGTTGTGGCGGTGCAGTAGAGCAGGTGTGTAGGCGTGCGGTATAGCGGAGTCGGTGGCTGCCTGCTTGTTGCGATGGCAATGATTACGGTTGCTTGCTTCTTCTAGGTATGCTCAGCCCTCGGTCGGCGCGGCCTCCACGTAAACTAGAGCGGCTAGCGCTTGCCGAAACCGTCTTGGATCGGAGCCACGCAGACAAATCACCGACGTGCACTTTCTGTTTCAGAACATCTCCCACAGTCGCAGCTGCCTCACACGCACGGGGAATGAATGCAATTCTGAAGGGGAAGCAGCCATGGCAGGCTCTTGCGCTGGCCTCTGCCGGCCTCGGCCTGGCCCTCTACTATCTGTTCACGCAGCAATCGCTCACGCCAAACAACCCATCTCACTCCACCGTGCTCCAACAAGACCGCCAAGACAACGAAGCGGTTCACACGGCAGACGACATGGGTCCGGAGGAGAGGGCGTATCATGAGGGCTTCATGCGCGAGGCTATCGCCATGGTAAAACAACCCCTGCACACGCCGCACACGCTCGCCTGCTCCAGCATGCCTACATTCATACATCATATCTAACAGACTTGAATGCTGACTCATCCCTTGCGCTAGGCCGAACTTGCACTCAAGAGCGACGAGACTCCTGTCGGCTGTGTTTTTGTCAAAGATGGCCAGGTCATTGGTCGAGGCATGAACGAGACCAATCGTACTCTCAATGGCACAAGGCACGCCGAGTTTGTGGCCATTGCTGGCATATTGTCCGAGTATCCCATCACCGTCCTCAACGAGACAGATCTCTATGTCACCGTTGAGCCATGCGTCATGTGCGCGTCAATGCTTCGTCAGTATGGCATTCGCGCAGTCTACTTTGGATGCTGGAACGAGCGCTTTGGTGGAACAGGAGGGGTGCTCAAGATCCATTCTGAGTACGCCAACCCTTGAAGACCCACACCCACGTCACCATCACTAACCCTTCGATAGTCCCAGCGTCGACAAGCCATATCCCGTCACCGGTGGCATCTTTCGAGAGGAGGCAATCATGCTGCTGCGGAAGTTCTACGTCCAAGAAAACGAAAAGGCCCCTGAGCCCAAGCAGAAGAAGACGAGAGAGTTGAAGACCGAGATCCTGCCCATGGATGTCCATCAGCCAAAGTCGACACCCTCAGCTGCTACCCGCGCGCCCGGCAATTCTGCTTCCACCGGATCCATTCCCACTCTTGCTTCCTTGGTCAAGACGGTTGTCCCTGCGCCAGCCGAGTCCCGTTCAGCATCAGCTTCCACGGCTTTTACCTGAGGAACCACAGGACGCATGCATACTTATACCCAACATGATAGATGATTTGACATCAACCTGATGATATAGAATGTACGATAGCTCATGACTCTTACCTTGAATATGAAGACTGTTCTGGCGGACTGCCGCTAATGCTGTCATGTGAGGATCGTGCACGCGATGAAAGGCACTATAACTGGGAGCAGATATCACATGGGATAGTAACGTCAGCAGACATTGTATACACCCCTTGTTTTTGACAGGGCATCTATTTAGACGTCCTGCTTGTCCAGTCCTTATTTCTCTCCACCACCTGCGGCTAGCTGAACAATCAGAAAGAGAGCGATAGCCCACCAGTACCTGCATAGTTGTCAGTATACTTTCTCCTAATAAAAACTGCAGCTCTACCCACTTTTGCAAGAATGTCTTCTCTGGCTCTTCTCCACCCAGCTTTCCTTCGGCATTCAATACAATGGGCTTGTTCAGTACCGGCTTCGGTCCGGTATTCTTCTTCTGTATCTCAACTTCTACCTCTTTCCCGCTGCCTTTTGCGCTTGTACTGAAGCCAACGTGAAATGGCTCGCCCTTGTCGTCAACGTAGATGACGATCTTCTTGTGGTATTGCTCGGAGAAGCTCGCCGCTGAAGTCACAACGCCATGTAATGAGCTCGATTTCGGGTCAGTGAGACCGACACGTAATAAGCGGTCGGTGGAGTAGGAGCCGGTTGGCGGTGTATATGAGACTAGGGTGCCGACTGGTTGATCCGCATCGTAGTCGATCTGGGCGAGGGGTACTGGTGAAGCGATTGCGGCCGTATCCCCAGAGGCAGGAACAGGAGCGACATAGAGCGTCACCGAAGATGCAACTGCAAGGGGCAGTAAGAGAAGTCTGGAGAACAGCATGCTGACGTGCTCATGTAAACGGCAACTATAGTGTACGCGCATTGGTGTTGGAAGCCGGAGCTTGGCTAGCGTACAGCGGCGAATCGTATCACCGAAGAGCATACACCGGCATGGGACCCTCGGTTTTACTACAACCCCTCTTCTCACTCCACGTCTCACGAGCCGCGTAGACATTGACTCATGCTGCTCCTCCGCTTGTCCCGGAATTGCACCGATAAGTCATCCCCAAGACTCAAACTTGCCTCTGGGTGGCGTTGCGGGCATCCAACAGCGGCCGGTATACCAAAAGAAGTGGATCCGAAAGTGACGATGCCCACCTCCCTACAACTCTTTCGTGACCAGATCGGCACTTGACCCGCGGCCCTAGATGCCAGTAGCCGGATTAGATGGAATATCTAAGCAACTAAGGGTTGTCAATTGCCCCACCCCCACCATGCTAGAGCTTCTCCCGAGCTATTATGAGCTCATCCCGCATCTACAGCTGTTGGTTGCTCAACATTATCTTGTAGAAGTACAAGTTCTGCTAATCTCCTGTTGTTTCTCTCCTCCTGTGTCCCTGTCCTTTTGCACACAAAAAACATAAACTATGGCTATTCCATTCAGACAGACGCAGCGCCAGCAGTCGCGGCAACTGTCGACTGACCCTCGCAATGAGCTCCACCCTCAAGTCGACCACTACATTGGGATCGATGTGGGTACTGGTAGTGCCAGAGCTTGCATCATGAACGACCAAGGCGATATTGTAGGACTGGCATCAGAGAACATTGGTCTCTGGCAGCCACAAACTGGCTATTATGTAATTTATGCTGCTGCAGGTACAAACATCAGCCAAAACTAAAACGACGCAGGAACAATCCACGACAGACATTTGGCGATGCATCTGCTCTTCAGTTCGTCGAGCAATAGACCAGCACAACATCGACCCGAGTACCGTTCGCGGCATTGGCTTCGACGCCACATGCTCCCTTGCTGTCTTCAGGGACGACACTGACGAACCTGTCCCGGTTACTGGGCCCAACTTCGATAACAAAGATGGCAACGACCGCAACGTCATTCTTTGGCTCGACCATCGGCCTGTAGAGGAAACAAATAAGATCAATGCTACCAAGCACAATCTGCTTCGATATGTTGGAGGCAAAATGTCAATTGAGATGGAGATTCCAAAAGTGCTTTGGCTCAAGAACAACATGCCAAAAGAGTTGTTCGACCGTTGCAAGTTCTACGATCTAACGGACGCCCTTACACATCTTGCCACTGGAAGCGAGAGCCGGAGCTATTGCAGTGTTGTCTGCAAGCAAGGCTTCGTACCAGTCGGTGTTGATGGAAGTGTCAAGGGATGGCAGGAGGATTTTCTCAAGGAAATCGGTCTTGAGGAATTGTGCGAGGACAACTTCAAGCGCATGGGGGGTGTTGATAATGTGGTTTGTCCATCGCTTTGATGTTTCTAGAGTGTAACTAACCCTCCGGCAGAATGGACGTTATCTCACTGCCGGTGAGCTCGTCGGTACCCTCAGCGAAAAGGCCGCACAGGAAATGGGCCTTCAGCCCGGTATCGCAGTCGGCAGCGGCGTCATCGATGCTTATGCCGGTTGGATTGGTACTGTTGGCGCCAAGGTCAAGCTCGACGAGGACACGCTCGATATGGATCAACCCAAGAACGACGTTTCCCAAGCCTTTACACGTCTTGCTGCCGTTGCAGGAACCTCTACCTGCCATCTCGCCATGTCCCGCGACCCCGTTTTTGTGGACGGAGTATGGGGCCCATACCGAGACGTGCTCTTACCAGGCTACTGGATGGCAGAGGGCGGACAGAGTGCAACGGGTGAACTGCTCAAGCACGTAATCGAGACACACCCTGCTTTCAATGAGGCTGTCTCTGTTGCTGAAACTTACAACACGAACATTTACGACTACCTGAACGAACACTTACGCGAAATGGCCGACAATGAAAAAGCACCGCATATCTCCTGGCTCGGGCGCCACTTTTTCTTCTACGGCGACCTTTTTGGAAACCGCTCACCTATAGCTGATCCCAACATGAAGGGATCTGTCATCGGTCTAAGCTCCGACAAGAGTCTTGACAGTCTAGCGCTGTACTACTATGCCACAATGGAGTTCATTGCCCTACAGACGCATCAAATTGTTTCGGCGATGAACAAATCAGGACATGTCATTTCATCTATATTCATGTCAGGATCCCAGTGCCAGAACAGCCTACTCATGGAGCTCATGGCCACGGCATGCGATATGCCTGTGCTCATCCCACGATACGTACATGCCGCGGTTGTGCATGGCGCAGCTATGTTGGGCGCCAAGGCCGCCAGTACAGACAAGGATGGCAAGAGCGAGCCGCTATGGGATATCATGGATCGGCTCAGCAAGCCTGGTAAAACAGTAAAGCCGTTGGCTGACAAGGCAGTCAAGAAGCTGTTGGACGCCAAGTACAAGGTCTTCTTGGAGCAGTGCGAGGGACAGCAAAGGTACAGGAACGAGGTTGATGCCGCAATCCAGGGATGGAAGAGCAATTAAAGCAGCTGTGGTAGAAGCCGTGTCTGTCGGAAGTGTAATTAGAAGTATGCTCTAGATACCATGTCCTATCTCGACGATTTCCAACAGGCTATGCTTAACGTCTGTGTAGCATGACTCCATGCCCATGTTGCCAAAGGAAAAAGCCATATTCCGGTTTCTCAATCCGCTTCATCCGTGTATCGTAAGGGACTAACATAACCTCTCTTCAAGGACTTTTTTTTCGCTCATCGCCATTGTTCGTGAAAGGGTATCGTGTATGATAGATTTAAAGAAGGTTTGTCAAAATAATGTATGATTTAGTAGCGACGGCGCGGGCCTCGTGGTGGGTCACGATGGCCACCTTCGTTGAAGCCGTATCGTCCATCTTGGAAGCTGCCAGCTCGTGCGCCTGTGTCAATC